CACCCTCTACTCTCCTCCTGGCTCGAGGGAAGGCGTAGTCAGGGCTGCAAACCGAACGGCCCCTCTTGTATAGTGATGGTAAATAAAGTGTTGTAAAGCCACTTAAAAAATGTATCATGCATATATTCTCTCAAATACGTATTACATCATGAAATGCTATTCGTACAATCCAGCGAAGCTTCGAGCTACCACATTGCGCCACTGAACGATTGGTGGGGGGAAGTGGGGAGAGGGGGTGCATTTGGCATGAAGCCAAGGCTTCGACTTACATCGAGTCAGGAGTAGGGGTAGAAGGTGAATCAAAACTATGGTGCATGAGTATACCTCTCTATCCCTCTCAGACATAAACATTCACCTACTTACCCTCCCATACACCTCCCTTCCCATACATAATGTCTCATACAGTTGCACACAAAATAACATGATTCATAGTATCGCATATCTAAAGAAAAATAAAATAAGAGAAAATGGAGAAATGGCAGTGAAGCTTCAGAATAAACAGGTCATACTAAGAGCTTCCTAATTTGTACTTGTTTGCATTTCCTGCAAGGGAGAGTATTATTTTTCAACTGGATGTGAAGAATCCACCACAATATTTCATGACAGCTTTTTGACAGTGACTTTAATCTGGTGCTGTGCTCCAGCTACCATACATGTGTTCATATATTCCATATAAGAAACACATACAGTGAACCCTCACTTTACGCGATTAATTCAACCCACGGCGGCCCGTGTAAAGTGAGAAACGCGTAAAGTGAGCAACATAACATATGGGATTAATTGAAATAGAGACCGGGCCGACCCCCAAACTCCACTTTGGATCAGACACAATACCTACATTGTAGTAAAAATAACTTCTTAATTTTATGATGGTTTGCACACACAATTAATAATTAAGAGAAATATCAATAATATTAGGTTTTTTAACACTTACATTAGTAGAAAAGATGGCTGGGCACACGGGGATGGGGGGTTGGTTCCGAGGCAGAGGGCAGATTATTGGCCCTCACCTGTATCACTTGTATCACTATCCACCACAGAGGCTTGCAGGGCCTCTTTGTCAAACCCCTCAAAGTCCATATAAGTCCATATCCTCACTATAATTCTCACTATCACTGACTTGGGCCAGCTGTGGTGGGTGGCGGGTGAAGAACTCGGTAATGTTTTGATGACTGGGCGACCTTGTGTGCACCCTGCTCGCGCCGCTCTCCGCGTAAAGGGGTACACGCACCGCGGAATGTGAGCATTCCGGTTTCGGCAGGGTACCGCGTAAACGTGGAAACGCGGAATATGGGACCGCGTAAAGCGAGGGTTGACTGTAATTTGCACCATACATACACGCATTTATACTTGATCAGCCACTGTATATTATATACACTTACCTTTCTCAATCTAAGCACATTAATCAGTAAATACTGTACATTCACCAGACACAATCCTATTTCTTACCTTTTTTCCCCTAATAAAGCTCTATCCCTAACATTCTTCAAACACACATAATTTTGTTGCAAAATAATAAAAAGATTTTGACATGAAAACCTGACCAGCAGATGACTAGTTCCTGAATCGATATATATATATATATATATATATATATATATATATATATATATATATATATATATATATATATATATATATATATATATATATATATATATATATATATATATATATATATATATATATATATATATATATATATATATATATATATATATATATATATATATATATATATATATATATATATATATTACATAATGAAAGTTGATCAGACCACGATAGTGAAAACAAACCAATGTTTTCAAAAACTTGCCATTGTTTCCTTTCTACACTGCACCTGACACAATGATGCTGGCCACTACCTTCACAGAGCCACATTATAATTTCATTGTTATGGATGGTACAAACAATGAGCAAATTCTTAGTACACTAGTATGTATATCAGTCATATCTAATCATAAAAAATCTTATTAATCATAAATTGTAATCTCATTTCATATCTCAGACTCAAAGAGTGCAGCAATGATAATTTCAAACTGTGTCATTTACTGTTTAGAGAAAATAGTAAATATTCAATTATCTATTGTTTAGAGTAAATATGACTGATAATTGAGCGGAAGAGATACTGATGCCTTAAAAATTACGATCATGATGAGGGAGGGAGAATCAATTTGCCGCTGGGATAGCTCCTGGGCAAGCAAAACACACGAGAAACACTACCACTGAGGTGCAAGAAGGTTCTTGGAGCAGGGACATTCAGAGGTAAGCAGGCACAGGAATCCATTTTTTATTTTTTTCAAACTACCTGTACTGTACAGGTGGTTTTGTTTCTGGGCAGAAATAACCATGCTTGTAAAAAAATCTTTATATTAGTGATGAATGCCTTAGGAATATACTTCATACAGTATATCAGTTTACATGTATTCATTATATACACTGCAACAATAACTGAGATTTTTAGTTCATATCTTAATTCTTTAAAAAACGTTCATGCTACAGAAACTTCAACTTCAAACTGCCCATCTGTAGGTTTTGTCACTTTTAGAAACATATGAAAGCAGAACAATAAAAAGCTGTTAAGGTATATACACAAATAATCATAAGGAAGAACTGAAGCACAAAAGATTAAAAAATGTAGTTATTTGTAGGTGAGGTTAAATAACTTATTTAACAATTATTATGTCTGATTCTTCCTTGAACAGGATAGTAAGAGGAACTTTACATTATAAATAACAGGCATTAAAAGTCAGAAAACTAAGCTCGGTCAAAACCCCAAAATTTTGGGTCCACTCACACTGACAAATTCGGAAAGATAAACTTCAGCAATTGGTATCAACAAAAAACTTACTTTCTATTTAGGGTCACATGACATAAATACTAGGCAGATAAAGTCAATAAAACTGCTGCTGATATGAAGCACAGTACTAGTAATCTGATAAATTTAATAACTCTTATCTAGATTTTGAAACTACAGTATATCTAATTAGGGTTATGAATATGAAGTACTGTACTGCATTAGTAATAATTTAATATTAGTCCCAGGCTATCAATTATTATCATGCTCTGTCCCAGCCTGCTTAGCTCTATTCCCTCACCACTACTCTACCAAACACACTAATTTCTTGTACATTCTAACAGAGTTCATTCAAAAAATCTAACAAGTTTGCTTCTATCAGTGACATTAAAATCTCACTATGTGGAACTCTTAATAGTATATATCACATTAAAAAATACCTGAATGTTGCAAAACCATTCATGGTGTTAAGTTTATGACACATTTATAAAATGTGTCTCTCAACAATGCGTATTCTATCATATTTATTTAGAAAAAATAATGTTTTCATATTATTTCTATTGAAAAGGTCAAACAAAACACCTAATCCACTCCTATGTATTAAATGCAGAAACCTTAAAAGTTATCAATAATCAAAACACTACGAAAAAGAGTGGACGAGCCAGACAGGGGACATTTCTACATGTTTGTGGAAGGTTGAGGCATCTCAAAACTACTCAAACACAAGTATGAGATGACTACTTTATGTACAGATGAAGCTACTACCACTGTGGACAAATGCATCCTTTCCTGTCAAATCCCACAAAGTTAGATGCACATGCATTTACATTATCATTAGTTGCTCTTTGTTGCCCTAATAAATAATATACTGTACTGTATTTAAAAAAGTCAAGACCGACTGTTACAATCATATATAAGATCAACAGCCAATTGAAATGAACACTACTTACACCTACTTTCCAACACACAAGATTGTGAAACTTTAAGTGGAAAAATCACTGGCAACAGAACATGAGAATAAGATACACGTAGCCTATAATAAACCTGAGTTTTTACATGTAGGCAGAATGAAATTTCAATGATAAAAAAAAAAAAAAAAAAAATATATATACTGTATATATATATATATATATATATATATATATATATATATATATATATATATATATATATATATATATATATATATATATATATATATATATATATATATATTATACTATATATTTTTTTTTTCAAATACTGTTTGCCAAAATGGCTTTCAGATATCTATATAACTCTTTGTTTAGCATTTATTTGCCATGAATTTAAATTTTACTGGACTAGTATATAACTGTATGACCTCACCAATTCAATGCATATCACATAATTATCTTTGAAATATTTCCAATATATAGTATAATAATAGTATTCATTCTGGCCTACAGTGTTCACACCCCTTCCTACATAAAGGGCATTCATCATCAATTTCAGCTGCAGAAACATTCAGGAAGGCCATCTGAATTTTCTTTGCAAAATTTAGCAAAAGCACAATAAAAAATTTCTTGAGCTTAAAATTTGGTAATCTAATCATATACAAACAAATTCTGAAATCTCCCGACAGAAAATCACTTCTTCATTCAACCTCAAACACTCATTCCCTCAATAAGCCCCCATTACATATGAATAAAAAGTTGCATAATTTAATTTAAGAATTAAAACTATGATGACATAGACAACTCTGTGTTTGGATTATAACTGCCAAGACAAAGAAGTACTGTACAACAATACCTCAATTACATGGGCCTTGGCTAACCAGGTTTTGTGTTATCTGGACATGGCAGCAAAAATCTTTGCAAACCATACATAGTTAGTGGTAGTAGATTTGTCATATCCACTTGTTTATGGAAGCACTACCATGGGACTTCTGGTTACCCTGAAGGAAGACATCTCCCCCTATGGTCTCCGTCCCTAGTAATGGTTCTACTTCTTTGGCCACAAACTAAAGCCCTACACAGTTTTTTACTTAAAATACTTTTAAAACAACAACTATCTTTAATTTCCATATCTTTTTGCTTTCCCATTCTTTTAAACAGTCCTTCCTAAATTAACTACAGGGTATTCTACCTGAAATGTGATGGTCATTCATTATATACTGTACTATATATATTTATCTACATTTTTTTATGGTGCAAGCTGAAGACATGTGTTTACTTGTGGGATAGCCCATCCAATTTTTTTGTATTTATTTATTTTTTTATATGTTTTTTTTTTAAGGGAGTAAAGAACTGCCATTGGATTTTTTACACAATATATGTATGTGGATTCTGGGGAATGTAGTGTGAAGGGAAAGATTCTGAATTTGCAAAACATCTCGAAGTGCAAAAGACAGCATCTTTGATGTACAATAATAGATAAGACAAGGTTCAGACAATGACAATCTTTCATACAGGGCTGAGTAATGATACCATGATGTGAGATAATGAAAAATTTGGTGAGCACGGGACCTAATTAATCAGGATATCAGTGGACAACATATATATATATTCAATGTGTCAGACATTAAATAACACTGGGAAGGCACCAGGTGTGAGGTACTGTACAGTCATCCAGCATCATACTGTATATGAACTGTCTCATCATAACTCATCAGAAAAAAGTTTTCAAAGTTTTTTACTGGACATTTAGTTGAAAGTTGGGATTTATTTTTATGACTCCTTAGTATTGTAATCCTACAGTAAATACAAATTTTAGTTATATACAAATGTCCATATATGATACTAGCTGCTAACAATCTAAATTTGGTCTGTCCTCAACTGACAAAAGTTAGCTATATTGGCATGAACCAACTTTGAACACTATTACAATGAGTTTCTAATACTGTATAGTTAATTAAGTAATCGAATAAGTGATAACTGTACTTATAAACACTGACACCTGGTGATGGTAAGAAAGCTTACCTAGAGCCAATAAAAAACAATACTACTTGCTAATTTCTACTCATTGTTGCTCTTAAATATCTTGATTATACAGGGACGTAATTCATTCAGACTTCCTATTCCTCAATCAAGTAGCCATCGCTTACGAGATAATTAAAAGATAGTAAATCCATGAAAATTCACATTATCTAGATTTTTTTAATGATATTTGTATTCCAGACCATTATTACTCCAGTATACTATATGAATGCTGGTATATAATCTCAGAATTCTTTAACCAAGATTCCAGAGCTACAGAGTTACCATATTAGTTTAGACCAAATTCAATAATAAAACCAAAGGCAAGAATAAATTTTCTTAAGCAATACAGTACAGTACTAGGAATTATCTTCTCATTTGTTTGTTATCTATACTGTACTGTACTGCAATCTTTTATCTGCTGTTCTCCACAACAAAATTCAACAATCATTGTTTAATGGTCTGTTGTGAAATAATTCTCTGAAGTCCTGTAGAGAGTTACTGACAATATTAAGAGTATAAAATAAATCTACCCAATATATGAGATCATAAAAACTTTAAATATTTTGAGTGCAATAATTAACAATGAGCAAAATAAAAACTATATAAATGGGAACCAAATATTTCCTAAAATGTACAAGTTTCTGGAACTTAAATTTCCAATATTTCTTTAAAATGTCAACACTTTTAACACTAAAGTATAAAAGAAAAAGTTAAGTATTAAAACTACTTACTAATTTTTCAAAGCTATTAATTTTTTTTTACCAAAACACTACAGGAATATATGACCTATGCCATACAGCCCTGATCCAACTTCTGCAATATACTAGAACTTTAATTCACACTTTAGAAATCTAATGAGATCAGGATTTCCTGTCCCCTGACTGGCAGGTGTTTTAAGAGGAGGACGACAAAGACAGACAGAGACCCAGACCCACACTCACACATGCCTCCAAACGTGACATATGCGCACACACACACACACAAAGTTATTATATACAGGCAATATGCGAATGGCATCTTTGTATGCCACTTGATATTTCTTCCCTAACGTGTGACATTACATAGAAATTAAGTTATTCTCAAGCTCAAAAATGATATTACAATACCTATAGAAATATCCATGATCTATAATAAAAAATTTTCCATCAAAAAATTATCTCCAGTTAAACCATGATACGAGAGTGCAAATGCTTATAATAATAGGACTTTACAATTATTACTGTAAGAAACACTATATCTGGACAAAGATGAAGTTTTCCACTGAGTGCTTTTTGTAAATTTTAAGGTGCTTACATATATTGATACAATATATAGTCACCCAATTATGCTGAAAAATATTTTCTCAATCTTCCAAATACAAATTATAATTCATTGAGCAGATTAAAAAGCCTGCCTGCATGACTGTTCACTTCCATAACCACGAAGAACATCATTCCTCATTAATTCCATTTACCTCATTATTTCCCTTCAATGGTTACTGATTCATAGAACACTTCCTACAAATCAAAAGGAAGATGTTTAAGACACTAGAATACACAAACTTTTATTTGCTTGTCTGTGGCATGAGAACTTACTCCTTACAAGTGAACAGTTTACCACTGTCAGTACATTATCTGTGACTCACTTTTTTCCTTCCCAGAAAGTCTGATACTTTGCCAAATTACTAGTTGTCATGTCTGATATTGTTGATAAGAATCTATTGCTTCTTTTAATTATATATTCTCTGCCATATCTACAGACATAAACCTTCTGAATGACAGTGGCTGGCAACTTTGGATTTTTGTCATGAGGCTGCATGAGAAACAGCAGTCTAGAATTTCAGGTCTTTAATCCAACACTAACAAGATGAAAAACTTCTTTTGCAGCTCTAATTTAGGTTTTCTCTGTCATATAACTCCAGGATTTCAAAGATCTTTTGTTACCCTCTCAATCAAGGTTTCCATCTGATAATAAATCAAGGAAAGAGAGCTAAGTGCTATTAAAGATAATTCCCTTTTTCTTGATAAATCAGGACTTTCTCCACACACAATGTATTGACACGTTGCTATTCACTACATTTACTTTCACTTTCACATTGCCAAACAACACCTACATGCTGCTGATAGCTTTATCCGCTCATATTGGTGATATGCCTCCATGTCTCACCAATGATGTACTTCCCCAGGTTTCTCCAGAAGACCCTAGACAAGACTGAGGTCATACTGGTGCTGATTGCTGGAGTGCATTTGTGATTCTCGTCCACAGCTCTTTCTTACATGACTTTGATCTATGGAGAAAAAGCATTTAAATAATTTAGTTGGTCATTTATTCAAACAAATACTGTACAATGTTAATCTTAATGGAATGACTTTCTACATAGTATATGCAATATATTAATATCACATTCACTTTACTTTATCACCATCACAAGTTAGTGCAGTTCCCTACACTTTATATTAGTCCCCAAGATACTGTCAAGGACTATAATTTTTTCATTAACTATACTGTATTTTATTCTTTGCTTCTTCCTGTTTCTTTAACAGGTAGATTTCCCTTTGTTTGCATTTTGCCTTTTACAATAATCCCGTGTTTTTCACGGATTTTTTTATCGCGGTTTTGACCATTCGCTGTTTTTTACTAAAAAATTATATATTACATAAAAAATATCCTTTAAAAACAAAAATTAAAATTTCGCACCATTTTCGATATTCCCCTGTGTGGTGCGGCAAACAGACGCCACCCTTTCCCGCCTCAGACACCCGCTGCTCTGAGAAGCCTCAGTCCACACGTGCCTACTGTACTGTGAACGCTACTGCGATTACCTCTTCTGCTTGTCCTCCCAAGTGCATTCCACATGGCTCTGGGACGTAAGCCAGCCTCAACAAAGGCAAATATTACTAGCAAAAACTCTAAAGTGACCAAGAGATCAAGAATAGTGTTGACCTTAACGGAAAAAACAGTTTTATTGGACAAGCTCAGAGGTGGTATGAGCTATGGGTCGAGATGTGGTGAAGACCGACAACTTATTTGTGTCTTTTGTCAGAATACAAGTCTTCAAGTGGAGGAATGTGGATGGAAGAGGACTGGCTGGCTGGTGTGACTGTGTGAGGGCGGGCAGACGCCGGGACAGCAGGGAGGGGATGGCAATGCGGGTGTTGCCGACCTCAGCGAAATATAAAAATTTTTATTTACTTGTAAATAATATTTTTTTTTATATAACTGTGTTTACATTTTTCCATTTATTATACTACAATATGATTAGTTTCAAATAATGATGTGAGTAAATGCCGGTACAGTGCATCAGTGATCAGTGTGACCACTGGGCCGTGAGTGAAGAGCATGGCGTGGTTAAGTGCATGACCAACCTGAGCTGTTTGGTGGCCACAGGTACAGTGATTCCTAAAATAGTACTCGCGGTTTTGGATTTTCGCAGGGGTTTCAGGAACGTAATTCCCGCGAAAAACACGGGATTACTGTACAGTACAGTGGTCCCTCGGTTAACGAACACAATTCATTCCAGAAGGTAGTTCGTTAACCGAAAAATTCGTTAATCGAAACTATTGTTTCAATGGGATTTTTGGTAATTGGTTCCAGCTCACCAAAAATTACATACAAACTAAAAATAAATGCAGTAAAGCACACTTACTTTGAGGTGTGCATGTAGAAGGCTCCTGGTTGATGATGATGATGATGATGGGAATTAGAATGGGGGTGGAGGAGAAGGGAGAAGAGAAGGCATTGGGGTGGAAGATAAGTCACCCCATGCCACCATTTCACCCATAAAATTTTAGTTCACTTGGTGTAATTCAAGATTATTTTCATTAAATCAACACTGCACTGCAATATATATTGTCAATATGTAAAATAAACTTCAGAATGACCAATAATTGTACTGTAAAAACGTAAAAATAGTTTATGTTCAAGAGAGTCTCAAGCAAGAAGCTTCCTCCACTGAGCAGGGACACACACTGATGCCATTTTGGGTGAGTCAAGTAACTGTTTGGCGTGCTAAAAACTAGTTCCCTGTACTTCAATTATGTTAAATAATTGTTAAAATGACTAAAAACTTTAATATAAGACTTGAAAAATTATTGAATAGTACAACCTTCTTGATATTTACTCAAAAGGTAACGAATTTAAGCCCTAAAACAGATTACTGTATTGGCGGACTAATAGTACAGCTGGTGAGCAGGCGAAAACATGTTGGGAAAAATTCGTAAGGAATTCGTTAACTGAGATTTTTTCGTTAACCGGAGTGAAGAATCTTATGGAAGGTAAATCGCTAACCGAGGCGTTCGTTAACCGAGGGATCACTGTATTTTCAAATATGAATCAACTCCTGGGCTGACAAATTTTTTGTCATTCCAGTATACAGACAGTCTTTGCTACACAAAAGGGAAGAGTTTCAACGGGATACACAATTGCCACATGGAAATACATATAAAAAAACAACATACGGTAAAAAATAACTTTAAAGGGAGGGAAGGGGGAAAAGTTGAAACAAGAGAACAAAAGTTAAGTTTAAACTTGTGTGAGAGTGTACATGGGTGTATCACTTACTTTCTAGGTTTACTTTCATTTATAAATCAAGAAGCAATCATCAAATGAACTCAACAGCCATGCTAGTGTCATGTCACCATCTTCTCACAGGTCATAGCTCTCATGATTAAACCTGAGAGTGTGGCAAGATAAAATCTATGCTCATCACAAAGAAATCATTCACAAAATAAATTTGAGTACTCAATCCATGGAATTCGAGCAGGTGATTGATCAATCCTTTTTGTTTCATTAGAGAACATTCAGTGATAAAACAATAAAAGTTGAACTTTTTGAGCAGAAACATTAATAAATCCTGCAAAATGAGCATGAATCACTGTAAATTGACTTCTTTGCATACAAAATCTCCCTTTTGAGTTATATTGATGATAGGCTTTGCCAGCAAAACTCTACCTTTTAAGAGACCATAAATATGTTAAAAGGGACCACTATGACTAACCTCCTTCCTGTATATGTAGTACATACACACAAGTTTTAATTACACTGTGATGGACTAAGGAGGTGTACATCACCATCTGTACTATCAATGAACCCTACATACAATCCAAGCTTGCCTAATACATCTGGGAAACTTTCAAAGTCAAACAAGGGTATAATATCTCCCAGACAATTTGAGACATAATTGGGATACATTTCCCTAAGGTCTGGATATTAATGAATCAATTGAGTTTTCATGTCAAACAGATAAAGGTGAATTTGAACTACTCGTGCTGGCCCACACTGAATATAACCCATACACTGCCTTCCCAGAGCAGATTCAAACCTGGAACCAGTGGACTACCTTCTTGTTAGGATAGTTGTTCTGCCAATGTATAGGTAAATTGTGATAACTAGGTTTTTCTGCATTTACATTTCCCCCTTGAATTGTACCCTTGTTAAACTTTGGCAAGAAAAGTAAAGTCTACCTCAGGAGAATAAATAGAGGTACTTACTGAATTATAAGAACATAACCTGGTTCCTTCAAATATACTCTAACTACATTTCTCAAGATAATAAGGCAGTCTGCAGATGGAATGGCTTTAAAAACTGCCTTAAGTGGTGACTTAGGCTAAATTTTTAAAATTACTGTAATTGGAAATGTGTACAGAACTGATAGGTTTTTGATGATGCACCACTTTTGTAAAATTTAGTAAATTGTCACACATTACTTTGGTAATGATCATTAGCTCCATATCTTCATGACCATTTTAACCAGTGGATTACATATGGTAATTAAACTGCATAGCACATTCATAATACATCCACTGATAATGGGGTGATGTTCAAAGTAATACACACAGGGTGATGGGAGAGGGTCTACACTGCATGCATCAAAAACTACTGCTTATTGTCTCATCTTCCTGTCACTAGGAACACAAAAGGAATACTTTACCATAGAAGCCTTGGCAGGGGTAGCTCAGTTAATATTCAAGCACAAAACATGATTGATTTTCTTCCTTACTTTGTCCATTTCAGCTTTTTCACTAAACAAGAAGATTCTTACCGGATACTCTTTACTCCCTCAAGAAAATCTTATGACCAACATAGAAATGTAGATTGTGACATCATACCCAATTAATAGCTGATATCAGATCACAAGAAAAACAAAATTATAATGGTAAGGCTGCTAAGTTTACTGAGAGAACTGTATAAATTGGGAGATGCCATTCAATTGTCAATGACAAAATCTGTGAATACAAAAAAATAACTTAATGACATGCAAATACGCCATTACTTTTTACTTCATTTGCAAGGGAGACTCCCAGAATCCCCCTGGTGACACCTTCAGCATCTCAAGCACTTTGCGATACCCTGTAATACATACTACATTAATGTCTTTTATTGTAATGTACTTACCAGTCTTAACCTCCTGGGTATCTAAGATAATAAATTTAAGGCCCTATACAGCAGCTATTATAATTAGAAAAACACTTATTTTCAGAACTTACCTTCTTAGAGCCTGCAAGAGTTCATTAAACTGGACAATTCCACCTGGTGTCATTTGGTATGCTGAACGAGCAGCAAGAATGATGGATATGAATTCATCATATTCAGTTGGGGTAATATAGTACATTTTCAGGTGGGTGCACTGGAGAAACCTATTAAGAAGGAAATATAAATGAAATATAAGCACACAACATTACAATATATTTTCAATCTTTATGAGCCTTTATTTACCTAAATTCAAGGTGGTTGCACTCAAGAGCAAACTCAGTCTCTCCCTTCACCTCTCACAATACATAACTTTTACAGGTGTAACAGACTTTTAATGCAATGGTACCATTCTTCCCTTCCACAATAAGGCCAAAATATCCATCTGGTTTATACCTGTTCCTTCACACAACCAAACATCACCCATCAGCAGCACATCCATTCCCCAAAACCACCAGACATTATGCTCTCCTATTATTCATGCACAATATTGGTTCCAGTATGTCTATCCCCTTCACTTAAAGAATGTTCTTAAGGCCCTCCATCCATCTCCTCCTTGGTGTTCCACCTTTCCTCCTCCCATCCATCTCTGAATTTATACACTTTTCTTACCAATTCTCTACTTTCCATATCGGAACACAATAAACCATTAAATGAATAATGATTTTCAGTGAAAATAGGATTGATAATATTGTTTTGGTTGTTCATTATATTCATATATTGAGAAAGGGAGGGAGGGATATAAAAATGAGTGGATGATAACAAAGTGTGTGTGTGCACAATCTTTACTTCAGCCATCCTGCAATATAACAGAGTGGGATATTAAACTTTAAGAATTCTGTCAGTGCTGGTAGAAGTATTTGTAACATCACATGAATTTCTGAGCAGAATAGTATATTTAAATAAGCATAAGCATATCAAAAGCTTTATTCAGTTTCCCAAAATGAATCAATATATTTGCGTAACTGTTAATTTTCAAACTTTCTGAGCACAAGACTATTGCTATCAATCATAACAGAGACTCAGTTAACTGTACAATATACTTTAAGTTTATTCATAAATGAGATACAATTGTGATCAACTTACATTTGCTGGCACTTCTGTACAAGAGGTTGTAAGATGGGTGACCTTAATTGTTGGTGAAAAAGAGCAGGTGAATGGCGGGCTAAATAATGTGCTGCCTCTACTGCTAGTTCCTGCAGCACAAATGGCGACACTACACTATTAACTGAGCACATACAAAATTGATGCAGGTATTGTTGACCTGCAAAAAAAGAGAAAAAAAGTCACAGTTTGCTAACAATTACAGTATAATATATTGTATAGATGAGTCCTTCACAACTGTCAGTACTCATAAAAAGTTATTTTTGTCACAAATGACAAGAGAATACCGGTAAGTCACTCACCAAGCTTTTTAGCTACTCCTAATAGCCACTTGACATCTTCCCCATAAGGTGGGTTTCGGGCATACTTTGCCTGAGGTCGATCATCATGGACTCTTCTGGCTAAAGTCTCTAATGCTAGCATGCCAACACGGTAAGAACTCAGCAAATAGTGCATAGATCCTGTGTTATTCACTTGCTGAATACCACCAACCTGTGAGAATATTAGTTGTGAAAAACCTAAAAAAATTCTTATTTACATACTGTATAATGTATATATACTGTATAAATATTATCTGGTAGTGTCTTGCAGATGGTTATTCCAACATCTTACAGGTTCAAACACATTCTGCTTAGAAAATAAGAGAATAGACAGATAAGAGCTCTGTGAACATATGGACACAGGACAGGTGCTGGTGCATGTGCCACACCTCTGAACCATACAATGATTTAGCTCACCATCAAAGTTTTAGAAAAAGGGAAGGATAAACGATGAGCTCATTTCCAACAGAGGGAAAGGAGAGGGACTGTTACCATCTTAACAAAACATGACATGAATAAAGAAAAGTCTCATACTTCAAAACAGTCTTCCTCTCTCTTTGTCTAATTGTTGCAGATGCCTAATGCATTGAGAAGAGAATAGGGAAGGGGCTAGGCGATACTCAGTGCATTCTTTTACACACTGGTGTTACTCAGTACAAAATTTTGCATCTTGCTCAGGTGCTACTATATTACAATATTAGCCATGGAAGTACTCCTGTATCCAATACCAGGAAACAATCCTGATCACTGAAGGAATACTATATCATAATGTTAAACTTTCAAGTGGACAAGACTATAACTGAAGCTTCAATGATGAGTAAAGTAACTAGATGGTTCAGTGGTTGGGGTGTATGCACTGGGGCATTCCTAGTCCCGTTTAGTACACATATGCATGTACCATTTAGTTCTTTCATTCCCCCCTTCCCCTGTAAAATGTAAATTAACTGATCCTAAAGGACCATGTATCAGGCACTTGTTAAAATTAGACAAACAGAAAAATTAAAAGACAAAATTTATTATTTATAATTATTATTATTTTTGTGCTTGAATGGCATGATATTCCACCACCGATTTGAAGATGATGCTATTTTTCTTAAGACATTCTCTTTGCATTTTATAATAAATTGGAGGAGTTGCCTGTTGTTGTGGTTGTGAGGTGGGCCGTGGGGGCAGCTGGGCCTGGTGGGGGGAATGTTGGACGATGTGGGGACCCTGGGCTCTGACCCAAGACAGCAGAGCACCTGGCTGAGGACCACCCATGAATCCTGCTGTTGACACTCCTCCACTGCCAACTGCACCCGAGTAAGGTAGCGAGTAGAAGCCCTGTCCAACAAATATTGAGGGGTTATTGACAAGCCTTAAGGATCTCATTGAAAATTTCAATCTAAATATATTTCCAAACTCTAAAAATTATCAATAATATAATAGAGGAAGATAATTCCCAGTTAGACAGGCATTTATTGTTTTGCTTCTTATGACTAATTTTTAATGTAAACACGTACCATATGAGTAACACCCCTCAATATCATAAAATCAATCATATAATATACACCTCTGATACCTATTTTTGCAAAAAGTTTGTTGCCCTATTTGCATTTGTATTTAAAATCAAAATGTTGTTGAGGTGATGCCATTTTCTCTGTTAGAAGAGATCTGTTGTTAGTATCAAAGTACAATATTAATTTCCATAACCACCATTTTATCATCTATCACATAGTAACACATGTACAATACTGTACATGAATGTGTTTCATATATGATGTAAATTACTTTAAGTATTGTTGAAATGTCTTCCAAAATTCATTAGAAAACAAGGGCCTCTTAAAATTGTATTATATTAGTTTCCAATGTCCACTGAGGGGCAACATCACTTCAACTAGAGCTGTATTCTAAGGAAAAATTACCTGTGTGTCCTGTGTGAGCCATGACCTCAGTAAAGAGGTATTCAAAGACTGTGTCATACAAAGCTATAGTACTCCTCTCCACCTCTTATCCAGTATTTGCATAATATTTAGTAGTAGCCATCAATGTGAAGGAGGGATGGATATGGAGATGATGTCCTGTGATACCATTATAGCAAATGGAATGTTTATGGTGGTAAAAGAAAATCATAACTCAGGAGAATGGGAGACAGAATGCAAGTAAGCTGAGGAGTGTGAAGGATCCAGGAGTAGATGGAAGGTGGAAGTGTTAGAATGGATCACAAGAATGTATATAACTATAAATTATTCACGACAGGGGAACAGAACATGAACAGTTATCATGCATTAAACAAAGTACAGTAGTGACAATTAATGTAAAAATAATTGTTGGAAAAAATTATTAAGCATAACAGGGAAAGTGTTTTGTAGTTATTATTCAGATAATTTAGAGAATTATATTACAGAAAGAGCAGTGTAGGTTCCGGAAAGGAATATGTGGATTATGTGTTTGCATCAAGGATCAATGAGTGAGAATGTTTTGTGGCATATAAGAGATGATAGAAAACAGTATGAGAAGTAAAAACAAATACTGTACGAGATAAATGGGAAATTGTTAAAGCCAATATGACTTTATTGGGAGAAGGAAAAAGATAGTTATTTCTTCTTCATACAAAATATTAGGAGTCAATGATTTAAATTGCTATTTAGCATAAGGTAACCAAAATTATATTAATTTAGATACAGACTTTAAATTACAGTATACTGTATATATACAGTGAACCCTCACTTTACGCGGTTAATTCAACCCACGGCGGCCCGCGTAAAGTGAGAAACGCGTAAAGTGAACAACATAACATTTGGGATTAATTGAAATAGAGACTGGGCCGACTCCCCAAACTCCGCTTTTTCAGACACAATACCTATGTTGTAGTAAAAATAACTTCTTAATTTTATGATGGTATGCACACACAATTAATAATTAAGAGAAATATCAATAATATTAGGTTTTTTAACACTTACATTAGTAGAAAAGATGGCTGGGCACACGGGGATGGGGGGTTGGTTCCGAGGCAGAGGGCAGATTATTGGCCCTCACCTGTGTCACTTGTATCAATTGTATCACTATCCACCACAGAGGCTTGCAGGGCCTCTTTGTCAAACTCCCCAAAGTCCATATAAGTCCATATCCTCATCATAATTATCACTATCACTGACTTGGGCCGGCTGTGGTGGGTGGCGGGTGAAGAACTGGTAATGTTTTGATGACTGGGCGACCTTGTGCGCACCATGTTCGGGCAGCTTACACAACATGGCGGATGGCGGGAGGTTTGGATCCAAAAATGGCGCGGCTCGCCAGCCGCTCTCCGCGTAAAGGGGTACACGCACCGCGGAATGTGAGCATCCTGGGTTCCGGCAGGGCACCGCGTAAACGTGGAAACGCGGAATGCGGGACCGCGTAAAGTGAGGGTTAACTGTATATATATATATATTCTTTCATATTCTTTCATTTTATATTATTTTTTGCATGGTACTGCCTCCATCGTTGTAACTGGGTGACTAATGAGGGTGTTTTTTTTCTTTTCATCCTACATTAGAATGAGAACAGGAATATAAGTAAAACATTGTTTCTAATCAAAGTAAATACATAAAAATCTGTATCAACAGGTATCAGAACAACCAATACCTGTGTTGGTGGAGTATTGCCTGGCAGGAGAGCAGGTTGTTGAGAGAGAGGAGGTGGGCCAGCAGTAAGGGGAGGAGGTGGCTGGGTACCAAGGTTCTGCTGACTCCCAGGTACGCCTGCAGGCAGACCTCCTGGCACGCCTGCTGACATTCCTCCATTACCTGGTAATCCACTCTGGAATGATCGGTAATAGGGTAATTCTTTGAAAAAAAAAGAAGAAAAAATACAGGAAACCCATTTTGATGGAGTTTTCTCCTTATTTCCACCAATCCCGATTCAATCATCCTGCACATGTATATTATAAATAGGGAAAGCAACTGTTAATTTAAACATAAAATACACCATGCAAGTATGTTGTTCAGGAATCAATTGTATGGGATTTCTAAAAGGATAAACATTTTTATCATGGTGTTAGGGTCACTATCACAGAATATTAAGATTGGTCTGCCCCAATGACTTAACTGCTGATAGCAGATAGAGAGTATTGAAGAATTATTTAAAAATTTTAATAAATGGAAGGATAAAAAAGAATTGAAGAGAGGGTGAAGGACCCATGCAGAGTGGAAAATGGGAAAGTGCTGACTGTAAAAAAGGTGTTGGAGCAGGTCAATAGTGTGCAGTAGGTGTGGAAGGTGATTATGAACATCTGTAACTTACAGTATCCCTGAAGGGTTTTCCATGTTCTGTAATATCAAAATCTACAAGCACATAGCTTGACAGAGGTAATATATATATATATATATATATATATATATATATATATATATATATATATATATATATATATATATATATATATATATATATATATATATATATATATATATATATATATATATATATATATATATATATATATATATATATATATATATATATATATATATATATATATATATATATATATATATATATATATATATATATATATATATATATATATATATATATATATATATATATATATATATATATATATATATATATATATATATATATATATATATATATATATATATATGTCGGTAATCCTCAGTTCACAGAGCTTCCAAAATTTGTAATTACAGTAAAGCCTGAGTAATGACGGGATGTGTCCGCCAATTTATGGTTGTAAATGGAATTTGTTGGATCTCTAATGTCCATTCACTTAATGCTATAAACTGAAGATGCATTCTTGGTGACACAAAAGATAAAATCCCCCAAAAAGGAATGATAATATAAAAAATATATTAAATTATATAGCTATTGTATAACATTAATAAACACAGGTACTGTATGTCAATGAAAAACGAACGATAGCGATTACTTAAATGAGTCACAATTTGAGTACAGTAAAAGTCCAAAAATCCGGATGCCAGAAATCCAGACCACCCGAGAATCCAGACTTTTCGAAAACTCAAACTTTTTTTTTTAAATTTAGCTGGCTTTTGTGTGTATGTGCACTTGCGTGAGTGCCACAGCTGCACAGCGACAACAAGCGACCACGCGGTCGCCACTTTAAAACGAGCAATCAAACTGTGACAACGTATGTAATTTTGAGTCCTACTCTTTCTATTTACGGAGTACTGTACGTTCTGTAACAGCCCATAATAATGGCTCCTAAAGTAGATAAACTTCGTTATGTGAAGAACACGTTGAAATTGAGTGACAAACTTGAAATAATTAAGAAACTAGAACGTGGTGTGAGCAATACTGTTCTAATGGAAACATACGACATTGGAAAAACTACAATTTATGATATGAAAAAGGCAAAGAATCAAATTCTAGAATTCACAGCTTTTTCTTTAAAACTGCTCGTTTTGATAAATGAAGCATGCTATATTTGCCAATGAATAAACTATCAAAATGTACCTGTTCATCTCTTCTTTATTCCTCCTTAAATTTGAATTTTAAAAGTAGTCTGAGAATCCGGAAAATCCGAAAATCCGGACCAACCCAATCCCCAAGCAGTCCGGATTTTTGGACTTCTACTGTAATTGCCTCAAGGTTAAACATATTAGAAATCACATTAATTGTTTTTACCATGGATCCACCATTCCCAATTCCAGTGAAATATTCAATGACTTCTCACATTTTCGAAGTGCTCTAATGCTTTGAATTTCTCAATTAAACTAACACAATTTCTTTTATACTTTGCACCAGGACTGTCATCACTTGGTCATATCTTTTACTCATTCTTAATAAATTATTAAAAATGAGGCATCAAAAATGCTATTCATTTATGAGTAGTCTGTGCGATGCCATAGCAAATGATTGACTGAACTGATGCCACAATGCACCAACCTAAATAGCTAAAGTGCCCACTGCGTTCTGAAGGAAATGTGGAGCGAACAACATTCTACAGTAGCTTGAATCAGATCCTAATTTACAAATTTATGTGATTCATTGCAAGTCATGTTGCCATAACTTGGGGCTATATTATATAGGGTAAATAATTAAAAACTGTACACTGGTGAGGTTACAGGCAGTAAATTATAATATATATATTTTTTTAATGTTGAGCTATGAAAGTTTACGGTTATTACTCAGAACCTTAGCAAGACATCAATAAAATAAGCTATGGAAAATTTCACCACAAAACTACTCACCAGTAGACAGTGATAACTCTAACCTTAATCCGTACAGTAAAGAGTCTGGGTGGCTGAGGCCAAAATTAATCATAATACAGTACTACAGTATAATAAAAAAAAGGGTGACGGTATTCAATAAGTAACACAGCCCATAGAACCCCGTGTTTACTGACGTGATTAAAAGAAAAATATTAATGCAGACCATTGTTTTTGTCTTGGGTAGATCAGCCAATTAATAAGTATTTGGTTTGATGACCTTAATGTTTTAGCATGTGAATTTTCAATTCACAATCTTCTATTAAGTTCATTAAGCAAAATTTTGACTGAAAGACTGTTCATGTGCCTGCCTGCACCCCAAGTAAGGCCAGCTATTTTTTTCTATTAATTTATATTTGGTTCCTTTAATATTTATTAACTTAAACAATAAACACAAATTAAACCTCATATTCTAATTAAATTTCCTACTCATGATATTTGAGAGGAGATTATTATGACCAAATCTGGTGGCTGGTGGTTGGATATTATCATTCAATGTTACATAAGCTCATGATCCTCCCGTGCTGTATGTGTGCATCTTAACATTCACTCGTACTGCACGCGCCTGTAACCAATGAACTTTGGTGTTTACACTAATCACTGCTAGGTCTTTAACTACAATACAGTAGTCAAGAATACTCAACAAAATCATGTTAACTGTAAAACTTCTTAAATATATCAAGTGGGAAGCAGTGAGCATATATATTATTGAAATTTACTTAATATTTTATTTACAGAGCTATGACAGTACAGTATATCATACCAAACATTACTAAAACCTAAAGCATTGAAGAAAGTCTAAACAAAATTATGTTTACTGTAAAAATATTTCAAAATACTTGAGGCAGGTAGTGTCAGCAGCCAGTGATAGTCAGGGTAAGACCTGGTTTACAGCACTTATAGACTTGTTTTATATACCAACAATGTTAGGTCAACCACAAGAAGTTTAGATCTTCAGTTCTTGCGACTACAGACTGTATGTATTTTCCACTATCACATCAGCATTAAATATTAATATTGTTGCATTTTGGGTTAAATATTCTTTGAAATGAAGCATCTCAGCTTATAACATGGGTTTTGGGTTGAAATTGTTTTTGTGCTGGAATGCATCTCAGCTTAACATAAGGCCATTTGGGAAAATGGGTTGCATATACTGTAGCAGGAATTCACCCAAAGCACAAATTTTCAAGAACACATGTTGTTTACAGGTGAACAAAGAATATTTACTGTGGAAGGTTTAGGGACAAGATTCTGAGAAATATTACAGAGAGAGTGTATTACCTTATAGTTTATCAAGTTCATTTGTATGAAGAACAAAATAGTCAATATTTCCAGTGTATCACAACATAGTTTATCAAGTTCATTTGTGTGAAGAACAAAGTGGTCAACATTTCCAGCAATTACTGTATTATAAATCTACATCAATGAACATTTGGTTATTCAAAGGATGTATTAATTATTGGACACCCTCTGGACTGTAAATAACACTTACTGCTGAAGCCTATCAGTCAAGGACTAGGGGACAACTTGGTGCCTGGTCATCTGAGTACAAAAGTGTACAGCTGGTTCAGTAACCGAGTGTTTCCATTTACTTTTAAGTGGCAAGGCTGGAGGCTTGGGCCTTTGTAAATCATCTTTATGCCTTGGGGATTATCAAGGTGCAGTGGATTGTTAAGTGTTTAACTCCTGACCTAAATATCTCATAAATAATGAAATGACACTAACATACTCAAGGCTGCACTAAAAGGCTTCGGTATGACTGACTGTGAAAACAGCTACTGTACAGTATATTGAAGCAATTGTATTATTTACATCAATAATGTATTATGCCACTGAATGATCTTATGCTATGACATAAGGCAGGGGTGGGCAATTATTTTTGATGGAGGGCCACTTCATGAATAGTGGCACACTTCGCGGGCCACCCACTTAATGTAGATGCAAATGTATTATATTAACACAAAGTAAAGCCTTGTATTTGTAAATACAAATGCAGTGGCGGGCCACAAAAATAATTTGGCGGGCCAAATGTGGCCCGCGGGCCATACTTTGCCCACCCCTGACATAAGGTAAGGTCTATCATTGGAACTTAGTCTCAAAGGTCTCTCACCAAAGACCTTTGGGCTTTTTTTTTTACAGTAAAAGAAGATAAGGAATTTAATTTTTGAAAATCTAATTCTTCCCACTTCAACTTAGTAAATAAAACACATGTATACACAGACACACAATACAGTATATGTATAAATTCTCATTCCACTCTCTGACCTACATAAGTATGTGATAAGAAAAACTAAAATACCATAAAAATGAATTAACATAACTGAACAAAAATTAAAAGAGAAAATCCCTAATTACCTACTTTTGTAACCCATGAGCTGGCATCCAGGATCTGTCTGATGCTGTAATGGTGAGTGGCAGCCAATTCGAGGACCATTTTTGTAGTCAAATTTTTCTGTTTGGAATTAAAGCCTGATAATGGACTTTTAGAAAAGCAGTACTTACAAAAATGGCCTTATCATATTCCAAAATAGGAATTACGACAAAGATGAACTACAGTCTCAGGTGTTAAGAGTAAAAGAAACTGCAAGAGTAGAGAATGTTTATGCAGAGGCTAAGTCATTAAAAAGACTAATTCTTATCAACTATGCATCGGCACAATGAAATACTGTACAGTAGATTGGAAGCCCTAAGCACCACATTTCTGCATCCATCCTTAAGCCACTAACAGCAAAATGACTGGTGGTCTTTAGTTATATGCAATTCACAGTGAAGAAGTTTTTGGTCAGACTTTTAAGTTGAGAAAAACTGAAGGTAGTTATACAGCTGTGCATAGCCAGCAAAGTGTTGCTTGCTACAGTATTCTACTTCACTTATGTGAAAGCCTATAGAGAATATGTAATTCTTCAGTACATGCTGCAGGTGTTGCTGCATGGAGAGTGTGAAGGTCTATGACTGAAATGTTTGAGAAAGTTCTACATATAGCCATGTCTTCAAGAGATAAGAGAGAGAAAAGAGGCATCAAAGATGTAGATGCACAGACAGACAGGCAGACAGACAGATGGTCATCTTTATATTATTGCTCTGATTATTAACCACTTTCTGATATAGTAAGTAGGGCTTATTGACCAACCAAGAAGGAGTGGGAGTAAAACATGCCAATTATCTTTACAAGAAAGTAATCACACCAATACAAACACAATCACACTACATGCATATCACACATCAAATAATAACATACACAAAATTTATTTTAATTCATGTACTACTGTATACTGAGGAACAAAGTAATATACTGTTCCAATAAACATAGTGTATATATAATTTTCACACTTTGCACTAAATCTACAACATGAGAATCAGTAAATTGTAACTTGGAGTTCCGTTACTACAGTTTTGCAGAATTCACAGGCAAAATAAAATTATTTCAAATTTACAAAATGCCATACTAATATTATACATGAAAATAAGAGCACTAAAGTAGAAGCTACTTTGATTAGCCTCAAGGTTTCAAGACATTCTAAAGTTGGTATGCAAACTTTTCTAACAGTTCTACCAAGAAAGTATTTTTGCATAATTTCATTTTGAATCTCAACAATTACATCAACGTTTTATGGCCATTTTCCACGCTTGCGTGGGTTACCTGCAATTACCTGATAGTAGCTGTTAAGTAAAAACATAATGGGATGTCTCCCACCCCCTCATTCAAAACAGCAAACCAAGGGCACTAGCCTAAAAAGTGCAGCAAAGACCAGGGGATGGGTACAGTTCTGGTGACCCGGTTGCCATCACGTGTGTTAAATCAAAGTTTATGGCTGGATGCCCTTCCCAACGTTAACCCACAAGATGGAAACAACTGACAAGGCAGGGTCAAAACTCCCTCAGGTAATCAAAGACTACCTCCCTGTCTGCATAAAGAAAATTAATTTATCTATTTCTCAATCAATATCTGAATATCTCCTCCCTCATTTCCTTCATAAACTTCTCTTAAGAAAGTTGCCTTGACACAAAAACTTCCAGGCTAGCTTACTTAAATATGCCTCCCTAATGTACTCCTCTACTCTCCACATCAAACCACCACATTACTCTTGCCTCTTTTGTCTCCTTCCTTCAAATGCTGAAATTATATCATCCACTAACAATATCTCGTCTCATAAACTATCACAGGCTCTCCTGACAGACTATGACATTACATCACCTCCTCCCATAACTCTGCCACCCTACCTCTCTGAGACAATACCTGTATTGCCTCAGCCCTCCTAGATATTAAAAGAAGCTGGCCCCCCATGCTTAAAGGTAGATTGAGAAGATCATAAAAAAATATATATATTATAAAATAAACAAATGTTGGAATATATGTAAGCAATGCAATTCTCCAAAATATGAAAGATATAACAAATTGCAAGTAACTGACTTTATATTTTTTCCGTGTTGAACAAATTCCAAAAACTGAACAACACAAGTGTCATCCCACCACATTTCAACCCTGTTCTATAATAGAAACATATGATAAGAATTGAATAAAAAAGACAGTCTATACACTGAATGTTGAATTTTCACAATTACATGTCAATAATTTCAATATGAGCTTATGGTGTCCTTACCTGTGGAAGTGTGGATGGTATGGACACAGGAGGGTAGTACTGAAGGGGTGGGGGAGGCAACAGAGGTTGTGATACTCCTTGTGCTCCACTGAATGGAACCCCAGGTGGTTGGATGTACATCTGAAAGGATAACAACACAAATACAGAATACTGTGACTCAGGTCTGACCAGACACTAGTTCGAATGATGGTGGAGGGGTTATCTATCCTGGCTAGCAGGTTAATGGCACTGAGTATGAATCCCTAATGTGGACAAATATATAAATGATACAAAATGTGAACCAGTAATATTACAATTATTGTTAAATCCAACTGTTCACTGGAGTACAACTGTCATATCTCAAGCTGGGAGTGGTATGTGATGACCAGGCTATACGACAGATGCCCTGGGTTGACTTTAAATATTACATTATGTACAATGGTAGCCTAACATGAATATAGCTCCCACACTCATATATATCTCCCAACCCATTACAATGTAAGGAAAAGGGGCATTTAAAACAAGGTTTGACACAGAAACCTCATGCACCCATATTGAAATATCAGGCACCATTAACAAATAAATAGTTGAGATTTAGAAGCCTGAAAGGTACCTATATAATTGTTAAATTTAACACAAGACAAATACTCAATGGCATTAAATAATAAATTTTTAAGTACTTTGTGAAAGCCAACAAAATTTTTGAGAATGTAAATTTTCTTTCCAAAGACCTGAGTGACAAAAATGTAATTGTAACTTGACTTTCAAATACTGTACAAGTCTTTGTATTACTGGGATGATGCTGATTCATTTATTTATAGTATCCAAATCCTAAATTAGTTATATTCTAATGCAAAGGAAACCCAGAAATACTGTTTACCAAGTACTGTTAAGTAAAAATACCTGCATAGGCATTTGAGGATTGATGCAAGATACACTTGTTGTTAGCCCCTGGATATAGTTATAACCAAGAGGATACGGAATGCCAGGCAAGCCATAGGGGACAGAAGGTGCTGTTGCTGCTACTGGGTATCCTGCCACTCCCACTATTGTGCCAGCACCACCACTGCCATTCACTCCCACAGAAACCTGCATGAGAAAAAATCCATGATTGGAGCTCTAAATACAATATTTGGTACACAGTAGAGTACAGACACAAACCCTTTATAAAAAAAAAAAAAAAAAAATCTAGTTTCTATATATATACCATACTGTGGCTATAATTAACTAAGCTGTAGCAATAAATAATATGAATATAAAGTTTAGTCAATCAAATGTGAGCATTAAATATTTGAAGGTAAAGATGAAACAGATCATAGGTACAGTACTGTAGTTAAAAACACTGGAGAATATATATTATGGGACAAAGGAGTAATAAAAGGAGAGAAAGTAATAGATGAATTGAGAAATGTACAGTATTACCCCGCCTAACGCGGTTTCACTTAACGCGTTTTATCATATACGCGGTGCCTCGCCAGAGCTGAAATTTCACTTAACACGGATTTTTTCCACATATACGCGGTGAGTGTCCGGCTCGAGACGCTATTTTTAGATTTGCCCCACCCGCCACCCTGCCTGACTGCCTGTTTTAGCTCATAAAATTCATACAAATTACCCGGCCAGAATATAATTTACATTGCTGGAATTCTTATAATTTGGTGATCATTTTGAATATAAACATCATATATTTTGCATTAGACATACAAATTTTAGATAAAATGTTTTCTCTAGTAAATATGTTATCTTTTGTGCAAAATATATGACATTTATATTCAAAATATTCCTGGTCTTACAAGGAATCCAGCAATGTCAATTATATTATCCTAACTTTAGTTTGAGGTATTATTTATTAAAATTTAGTGGTTTTCCCACACATCTCCTTGGGACGGTTGGTGGGGGGTAGGGGGGGAGGGAGGGACCGACCGACCATCTGTTACCCCGTGAAGAATATTTTTTTTTTTATAAACTGAAGATATTTGTTTTAGCTCATAAAATTCATACAAATTACCCGGTCAGAATATAATTTACATTGCTGGAATTCTTATAATTTGATGATCATTTTGAATATAAACATCATATATTTTGCATTAGACATACAAATTTTAGATAAAATGTTTTCTCTAGTAAATATGTTATCTTTTGTGCAAAATATATGACATTTATATTCAAAATATTCCTGGTCTTATAAGGAATCCAGCAATGTCAATTATATTATCCTAACTATAATCTGAGGTATTATTTAATACAAAATGTTAAAATTTATTTTTTTCACCCACTCTTCTCTTGAAGGAAGGATTGGTGGGGGGTGGGGGGGAGGGTTGGGACTGACCGCGCGGTTGGAAGAGGGGGCAGGCAAGGTGGGGTACTTTGATTGACAGATAGTGTCCTGAAGAATATTTTTTTTTTATTAACTGAAGATATTTGTTTTAGCTCATAAAATTCATACAAATTACCCGGCCAGAATATAATTTACATTGCTGTTATTCTTATAATTTGGTGATCATTTTGAATATAAACATCATATATTTTGCATTAGACATACAAATTTTAGATAAAATGTTTTCTCTAGTAAATATGTTATCTTTTGTGCAAAATATATGACATTTATATTCAAAATATTCCTGGTCTTACAAGGAATCCAGCAATGTCAATTATATTATCCTAACTTTAGTTTGAGGTATTATTTATTAAAATTTAGTGGTTTTCCCCCAAAAATTTCTCAGAGAGGGAAGAGCCAGCAGTGTAGTGTGAGAAGAGGGGGAGGGAGTTGAGTCCATTATTTGAATGGACATTAACTTGGCGACTGTATTTCTCTATTTCTCTTAAGTATTAATTGTGTGCATGTACCATCATAAAATTAAGATGTTATTTTTACTACAACATAGTGATGTGTCTTCAAAAAGTGGAGTTTGGGGGTCGGGCTGGTTTCTATTGGAATTAATCCCATATGTTCTGTTGTTCACTTAACGCGAATTTCACTTAACACGGGACCCTCTGGGTTCTATTGACCGCGTTAAGTGGGGTACAACTGTATGGAGAGAGAATCAAACCAAGTGAGTCAAAGACTGGGATATACTGTATAGAGAATCATTAGGCTGAGACATTACTAAGTGGGTGTAATGCATGTACAGTCAACCCTCGCTTTACGCGGTCCCACTTTACGCGTTTCCACGTTTACGCGGTACCCTGCCGAACACGGAATGCTCACTTTCAGAGGTGTGTGTACCCTTTTACGCGGAGAGCGGCGCGAGCAGGGTGCGCACAAGGTCGCCCAGTCATCAAAACATTACTGAGTTCTTCACCCGCCACCCACCACAGCCGGCCCAAGTCAGTGATAGTGATAATGATAGTGAGGATATGGACTTATATGGACTTTGAGGGGTTTGACAAAGAGGCCCTGCAAGCCTATGTGGTGGATAGTGATACAATTGATACAAGTGATACAGGTGAGGGCCAATAATCTGCCCTCTGCCTCGGAACCAACCCCCCATCCCTGTGTGCCCAGCCATCTTTTCTACTAATGTAAGTGTTAAAAAACCTAATATTATTGATATGTCTCTTAATTATTAATTGTGTGTGCATACCATCAAAATATTAAGAAGTTATTTTTACTACAACGTAGGTATTGTGTCTGAAAAAGTGGAGTTTGGGGGTCGGCCCGGTCTCTATTTCATTTAATCCCATATGTTATGTTGTTCACTTTACGCGGGCCGCCGTGGGTTCAATTGGCCACGTAAAGTGAGGGTTCACTGTACTCTAGATGCAAGAAGAAAATTAAAAGCAACCAGGAAGGGAGAACTATAAATGAAGGGGATGGACACCGAGGAAGTTGTGGTGTGATATGTGTGAATGATAAGAAAGCACAGCAACAAGTTGTTTAACCCCCACTCCCCGGTTGACGTTCTGAAATGTCCACCTAGGGCGGTCCCAGTTGATGTTCCGGAACGTGCGCCTTTTTGCAGCTTTGTTTGAATAACCAGCTCGGGTTATCAGGTTCCAGTGTGACTATTTGCGTGTCACACCACATGCTCGGTCACAGGGAAGCTTCCTGAATGTAAGTACAATACCTACTTTTGTTTGTTTCATTTTCATTGTTTGTCCATTTTATCATGTTGTATTAAAGTAATATTGCTAAAAGTAGTGTAGCTGTATTGTAGTGTAGTATTACTGGAAAATAATGCTATGATTAAGTTATAAATGAATTTATTTGTGGAATTATTATTCCGATAATTATTTATATGCATTACCTGCCAAACACAAAGACAGCCTGGCGAAAGACTGCATGTGTTGCCGAGCACTTTTTATGAAAAATAATGCAAATAAAATATTCTAAATGAATTATTTATAGAAAATAAGAATTATAATCAGTAAATATATGCATTACTGGCCATCCCGGACACAAAAGCAAGCAAAAAATGGCCGCAAAGTGTGTAGTGACCACGAATACTAACCGTCAAAACAACACTGTCCCCTTAATATCCCTTACCACTGCAGCCCCAGGGAAGTTTCTAGAGGGTCAATATATAGTTTTTCTTACTTCTTTATGATTGATTTATCATTTAAAAAGGTAAAAAATTATTTTTGTTAAAGTTGATTTTTCTTGATTTACCCCGTGTGGGGGATACGGCCATCGGCACCCTAGCCCGGGGCGTAGGGGTTAAAGGAATGGACACCCAGCCAATGGATAATGGCAAGTTGTGTGACGTGACTGGGATAAACCACACAGGCATCCTAAGGCTCTGTTGTAGAAGGGGCACAAACAGAACACATTTATTACTGAAGTAGGAGTGAATGAATGACAATAAATGAAGAGGTTCCGAGTTTGATCCTTGTCTCAGCTACACTGTAATATAGTAAGATAGAACTTTCAAGAATGGATAAGGTCTACTGTCTAATTAATACAGAAAAAATCCTTGACAGTACTGGTGGATGAAGTCCTTGTTGAGCCTGTTGTTCAACTGGTGGTATAGGTGGCAGTTGTTGCTGCTGTTGCTGCTGCTGACTGGGTGGAGTTGGAGGATTAATTGGTGGTGGTGGAGGGAGAGGCAGGTCATGAGCTCCACCTGGATCAACAAAAGGTGGGTCCACTACGGCATGTTGGACACTGCCTGTTCTTGCTTGATGCCGCGCCTGGTGACGACTTCGAGTTTCATAGATCTCATACCAGCGACGTGCCACAGAGAACAAGACCTCAGGATATACGCCGCCACCTTTTGCAGCACCTTCTACCGCAAGGCAAGCACTTTCCAACATGGTATCACTCTGCTCCTTGCACTGTTGGTTACAATAACACTTTTGGTAATGATATGCTTTTAAGATGTGAAAAGACAGCAAAAACCAACAAGACATACCAGTGCTTTTTGGATATCATATATGAATGATTGCAATATAAATATTTCACACTGAGTCTATATATTAGCTAACCCTTGTTACCATCATCAGAACCAACAATATAACCAGTTTTCTTCCAATTATTTATTTGAAAGTTGCTCATGGAAATCGGGCACATGCTATTGTACTATTCCAAATGATACTAAATGTTACATAATACTTCCTTGAGATAAATGTATAGTATATATCAGGTGCCCAAAAGAGAGCTTAGGTTCTCAACTGGCTCAGCCATGTTAATATTGTTACAATATTATTATCCACTCTGTATCTGTGTTTTTCTGGCTAATTAAATTGTTTCAATTCAATTCTAAGTATGAAATAACACCCCCAAGTACCCAACATTTGCATGAGTTCATGGGTTCTACACTACTTATATAAAGAAAATTGCACCTTGGTTACTAATGACATTTGGCTGTTGCAATAGTTTCTTTCCTAAAATTTAAATCTACATGATTTTAATTAATATCAAAGAATCCCACTAGCATGTACTGCTCACCTGCTCACCAAGTACAGTATAGGTATGTCACATATATATACCAGGTTTGTCTTGAGATCACACCAACCTTTCATTTTAAAGTTATCACAGACAAGTGACTTCCAATTTTCTGAAGCATATCCTTCACGTACAGTTTGATGAAAGTCAGACTGTAAGATTAACTCTACTAGTGACAATAAGTTTCACTTGAATCTCACTGAGAGATGAGCTAAAAATTATTTGTTTAAGAAAATTTTTATTTAAAAATCAAGTAATCATTTTAAAAAATGTATATTTTCTTGCCCCAGGCCAAGGTATTACTGAATTTCACACATCAGGTTTAGAGAAGATTTTATCCAATATATCTTAAGCAAACTTGTGGAACATTAAGACAAAGCCATATTTTGACCCCAAGGGTTCATGTGTACAAAATTTCTATCTCTATATTATCTTTAGGTTCAATACTTTGCATTTTAAAGAATATTTTCCTATGTATTCTTTGAAATCATACAGGCACTGGGATAGGGCCAAACAATCCGACAGTTTTGAGAAAATTTTAATTCTAAATACCAATGGGGTCCTCATTTTACGTCAGGGATGTGATTCAGAGTTAAGTGACTTATAATGAAATGTTTTATAATGAGGAATTTTTCCTCCAAGTTGGGTCTGTGATTTTTTGTCAGGAATTAATATTTTATGATAATATTTGATTAACCCGGCACACAATGAACGTAAATTACATGAGAATTACGATGAAATTGCATACTGTCATGTTAAAAAGTTCAAAGGTGGAATTGTCCAGCCAACCACACACCCTAACTTCCACATAATTGACTTCCCACTCTTAATTTTCTTATTTTATAGTTTATTTTCGATATTTCTATGTCACATTAGAGAATTGAAATGGTATTTCCATAACCTTTATGGTTTCTTATGTAACTCTAGCACATGTGTATTCTATTCAAAGCTAACACATGCCCATATGTTATAGTCATTTCTGGACTCTACATTCTCCCACATTGTCCCTACACTCCTATTTTTTATTATCATATATCTTTATATTACTGTATAGTATTTTCTTTATAAATAAAGCACACTAGCACATTGAAATGACTTTTCTGAAAATTCTGTGGTTATGTAACACACAACAATGCATTAGCACTCAGTCGTGTGAGAGGCGAATGATTTATTTTGGTGTGGTAGAAACCTAACACTTACGGGGCAGGCACTTTTATTACTTATTATGGTTATTTTCACATTGTAATATGTACTTTTAACACTATTTATGCATCATATTCAGGTACACACAGACTTAGTATAAGATAGTGGATGATCAAGACGACGTACAACACAGTATACAGTATGTGAAATAATTGATGTACTCTACAGTCTCATGAAATTTTTTCCTATACAATACTGTATTTGTTAGCGACGTATATCAGTACACCATATAGTGAGGACCCCCTACCTCTGAATTTGGACCTTCATAAGAATACTTTTCCTTAGTTGGTTGAACTGAACTCAAAGGTTATTGAGAAGAAATTAATTATTTAAAGATCAAGTTGACCAAGAGTGTGTAAAAAAAATATGCCATACCATTAGCTCATTTGGCATTTTTGGATCAGGTGAGCAATAAGTAATTTGCCAATTTTGTATTTTCACAAAGCCAATCACTAAAAGACACACTCATATTTATAAAAATGCTAAGTCATTGACCCTAGCTGTTTCTGCACTTAGCAAAAATCTTAGTTCAAGGATCATCAAAATTGAGTTGTTTACAATGGGAACTTACAAGCAAAAATACGTGGATTTAACCCTCTGCCTGGCAGGGGTAGTAGGTCATCATCTATTGTAATGAATGCTGACCTGATCACTTTCCATATTTATACCTTGGGCGATGCTCTTGATTAAACGTTAACCACTCTACAAATTCAGGGATATGGGTTCCGTAAAACCTTTTTAATTTTAAATGTAAATAATCTAGTGTTAAATTCATCTGATACACAGTCATCCTCTCAGTGGAGCAACTAACCTCCAATTAAATAAGTGATCATGAATCTGGAAACCTTCAAATGACACTTATTTACAGAACAAAGCCTGTATCCTGATATATTCTTTGATGAGTATAAATAATGTTACATGTCTTACCTGTATAATTGCCCTTTGAATCTCATTTGGATTTAGTGCATGAGCATGGGGTAGACAAGAGAGTGCTAATCTTGCAGCTGCTCGTATAGTGAGAGTATCTCGGCCACGCGATGCACGGTCAGCAATAGAAGCTGCTTCTTGTGGAGTTAAGTGACCTTCCCATGTATCAATCAAGAATGACACTGCTGATGAGCCAATTTCAACTGCTTGGCCTGAAAGGAAAAAGGAACAGCTCTTTTAAGATGGGTATGATAAAATTGCAAGAAAATATTTTAAAACATGGACACAATTAAATTTGTGAACTTAATGAAAGATATTGACTAACACAATAGATATCTAGGTGTGATAATGTTTAATGTTTAAGGTAGCATCTTCACTGTGTGAGAGGGTTTGCTCTTTTGTTGTTCTAACTTCTTTAATACGAGAATTCCCTCCCAACCAGCCACAGTAAACTAGGGCACAAAGATATGGAGACTTGGTACAAGGAGTGAGGAGTTGCCTTGTGCATTTCATGTCACAAAGACTTCCACACACTCAAGAAGTTCTAAATTCAGTGTATATACAGGTACTCCTCAACTTACGACCTACTCGACTTACGACCACCCGGACATAAAATATTTTTCAAATTACGTATTTTCGAGTCCCGACGTTAGTGATCGCGCTGTGTACTAACAAAATGTTCGTTTGTAATTCCTTTTAAAATGGCTGGCAAGTGTTAAAGTGAGAGTTCTCGTGGTGCTGAGAAGTAAAAGAGACACCCATTTTAGATTTTCTATGTATTATTTTCGGATTTTCGACTTACGACCAATTCGACTTACGACCTGGTCGTCGGTCCCTAACCCCGTCGTAAGGCGAGGACTGACAGTACTTGAAAATAGTGATACATTTTGTACTGCCCGAAGCCCTGACTATTCCTACTGTTCAGTATCTTATAGTTCTTTTGAGGAAAATTTAAATATTTTGTGTAAGAAATACGTGTTGCAAGTGCATGTCAACATCACTTCTCGCTCACTGAGAGCTGTGCACAGCAGCTTCAAACAAAGCTATCTTCATCACTCCACACTGCTCATTAACCCTCTACACAACTCTCCAACCAAGCTACAATGAAAGTTGAATGTAAGTACATTCTTCTGACATTTTTCTTATGTTGATTAACCCATTTATAAGATGACAATGGATTATTTAAAACACACACACACACACAAAAAGTGTTTTTTACCAAAATATGCCAATGTGGCGGGTTTGGTGGGTCTTACAATGCCTTGGGTCTAAGGATTAAAGATATGGAAATGTTCAGCAGGTGCAGTAATCACTAAACTTAAAGTGTTGAGTAAGAACTTATGAACCAGCTTAGGATAAATAATAATGTAAAGCTACAACCAAAAACTTAGTAGAATCTTATATAATTCTAAATACTAGTGGGTTTCATGTATTATATATGGCACCTATACTCAAGATATATTGAATACCTAATAGTGTTATGTAAGTATTATGCAGAAATACCCTACTTGTTAAAAAATACATACAGTAGAACCTCTATACAGCAGATTTTGCTTTTTTCGGACTCTCTGAGGTGCTCCGAACCGCCCCTCTATTTACCAGAAATATTTAAAAAGGCCAAAAAATCCAGCATCAGTCAGGATGTCTGTGTCTTCACATGTGAGGTAAAACGTCTGTGCGTGGGAGTAGCGCAGCACATGTCTCAGTCTGAATCCTTCCTTTATACGTATCGTATCACTGCGCCACCTTACTACCTACACTCATTTATATGAACTTTATATATAGAGTACATATTGTTTTTAATGAGGATACTTGAGGGTTTTAAGAAAAGGGTAAAATTACGTAAACTACGCATTTTATGAAATACCCTGTAAGCGAGAAAAAAGAAAAAAGAATGCTGCGGTTATTAACATATAAGATTTTACAGTACAAAATACTGTAGTCCTCAGTGAAAACAATTGTCGATATCTAAATTTATGTCTGATTTTCTTTAAATGTTTAGCCCCAGAGATTGCCCCTTTTCAGACTGCGGTCTACCGCAAATAGTCCGGTGTATTGGGGTACTAATGCACAGTAAAAATATTGTCTTACTTGTTATCCATGAGACATGAGATGAGTATGTCCTTGAGAGCCAGTTGGGACTGACACAGTTATGAAGACCAAGAGCATAAAGACCAATTTGAAATGCACACATGTGCAGTGGTCGATGAGGACCTCTGTGGTTTTGAGAACTGCTGGCCTGTAAAAAATGGATTAATTTAATATATAAATTAATATTACAAGATGGAATGTACGAATGTGTGAATACACATATTAGCACAACATAAATTACACTCTAATGTGGTACCTATACCATATGGTTAATTATAAATAAAATTACTGATAAATGAGACATTTGGGGTATTACAGCCAATAAATACAACATAACATGCTTCAACTAAAGGTCTTCAATATAGCTTCAAGTTTTGTTAAAGAGTATTTATTTTAACTCAGAGGATATGTTTGGGCCTTATAACTTACCTGTGTAAATAATGATGTGCTGCTATTTCCTCCAGCTCTATTTAACACTGTCTTAGCCAACTCAAACATGAAATATGCACTAGCCTCTGATGGCTGGTTGGGAACTGTTGGGTATGCTCGTTTACCCTTAAACCGAACACCCTTCCCATAAGCTGGCTGAGGTCTAGGCTGTGTTGTTGTGCTTTCTGGAGTTGGTTGTGGGACTGGTCGCACCAATGAAAATCCAAGAGGTGGAGATTCAACTGGTTTGTTTGCCTGCAAAAATAAGAGCTGCCTTGAGGTAGCTGCCAGTGTGTAAATGAATTCTAAAGATATGAAAAGAATCCACAATGAAAAACATTAAAACAAAATGTTACAAAAATTAATACAAAGAGAAATGACTACTCATTTACAGGAGGAAAGACACACCACAGTGACCACACACACATATATGAATAAAACCAAAGGAAACATACACAGAAGCTGTGATGATAAAGCTCATTTTTACTTTGTAACTTATAAAAGTAGGTAAAAACAATTACTGTAACACTCACTTCAATGCTGGTGATCTTGTCGCCACTAGAAAATGAACCTATACTATCAGAGGAATTGCCAGATGAGCCAGAGTCTGAGCCAGGTCCCGTTGACTTGATCCAGGCTATGCATCGTCCAGGTGTAGGGCAATTATCTGTCAAGTTAATAGTCACTGAGATCTAAGGGATTGTTGGAGTACACTAGAGAACACACTTAAACTATTTCCCAAATATTAATAGCAACATCAACAGTGACACAAGACCCCGGTTTGGCTGAAGATGTTCATCAAGGATGAAAATGTGCCTCATAGGCACGACCGCCCATTTGGGACAGTGTGGATACAGCACACTGTATACGAGTACTAAGCCTTCAGTACACAAGGAGGAGTTATGGACAGTACAACTCTCGACCACATTTACCCTCCCAAGTTTTAAACTTAGGTTCCCATTTACAGCTGAGTGAACTAGGAGCACCTGAAAATGGAACCACCAACCCCCAGAACAGGAGGCAAGCATTGTATCCACTGACTGCCACACTCTGGCACATGGCCTACATACAGCCTTCAACAGCACTGCATAAACTCCCAATAAGGTTGAACATTTTTGGTATTACTGCCCCAGTCACATATTTGCTTCTGTAAAAAAAAGGCATCATACAACTGGGTCTATGTCTGTCTCCACCCACTAATAATTTCCTAATTAAATCTGGATCTGAATGTGTCACTCAGTGTTCCACTCTCAAATATGTATACTGAAACACCTCACTTCCTACAGTGTATTTCCATTCTAACTAACATATAATTTTCTCTGGTTCTTATCTTTACTTATTTTCATCGCCTTAATTTTATTCACTAGCAAATAGTTTACAGTACTTGAAAGCAGGGTTGTCAGATGGCCGTTTCCACGGCCAAATTTCTCTACTTTGGCCGTAAAAAACTTCGCCTGGCCGTGGAAAAATGGATGGTCACGGCCAAACTATTTGGCTGAATTTTGTAAAACACATACTAATTCCTCATCTAGTGGATTTTGAAGACAAGTCTAGCAGATTTTCAAATTTCACAATGAAAATGCTGGCTCAGTGACCTCACCTCTTCACATGATCATGTGACCTACTGAGCTGACTGACCTTAGTTGTTAGTTCTCATATTTGAGTTGTTCAGGCTGAACGTGTCCAGTATACGGGCTAAGCTTCAGAGCTTACAAAGCCATTTGAGTTACTTATTTGAAAATCTGAGTGCTAGTTTTCAAAATGGAAAGGGTCCTACGACAGTGGTAGAAAATTTAACAAATCATGGGAAGAAAAATACGTCTGGGTTAGTAGAGCCAGTGATGGAAGTGGAAATGCTTATTGCAAAGTGTATAGAACACAGCAGCAGTACAGAAAAATACATCATTTGTCTTGGGCAGAGGAGTCAGTTTTTGATGGCAAAATTCCCACAGATGCTATCTCTTTCTGGTCTGGGGTGTTGCAATACAGTACAAGAATTCAACAGGTAAGCGGCCCTTAGAAGAATTAGGGACCTATGTTATGGCTTGCCTCACAACACCAACGAGCAATGCTGTTGTTGAAAGAATATTTTCCACGGGAACCAAAATCAAAACCAAATCTCGAAATCAGCTCGGTTCTGAAATGTTGGACGCAATTATTAGAGTTCGCTCACACCCCCAGTTCCAAGGAAAATGTTGCAGAGATTTCAAAGTAACACCACACATGATGGAGCAATTCAACTCTGCGAACATGTACAAGAAGGAAGAACCAGGGAACGATGACGAACTAGACGTTTTTGCTTACGTCAACTAGTGTTATCAAGTTCTCCACCATTATCATGCTCCATCACCATTTCAGATTAAGGTAAATCTACACTGTAGAATTATAGATACCGCATTATATTTATGTAATTATTGGGCTCTCAATTCTAAGTGAAAATTTTTTTATTGTGACATCTTAAGTGGATATTGTAGGGGATACTTTTATTTTGTGTGGATTGCAAAAATAGCCTTATGCTTCCCATTCAAAAAGATTTGGCCAAATTTTGGCCAAAAATAAAAAAGGCTTGGCCGATTTGGCCGTAAGATGGCGTGAGTGTTGGCCGTGAAGCTTATCGTACATCTGGCAACCCTGCTTGAAAGTGCAAATTCATCACCTTCCACACCAGATGAGGTAGTTTCTAAGGTACATGCCGGGGCCCGCTTTTTTCTTTGTTTACCCACAGCGCACTTCTCTTCCCAAGCTTTATAATCATCCTCCCAGCTAGGGCTTTCACCCTCCTCCCCCTCCGGGAACCTAGAAGAAGAAGGGCCATTCTTGGGTCGTGCCCCACCTATGGGTTGGGACGGGGAGAGGCTGAGACGAACCATGGACCCTTCTACATCGCCTCCAGATGTTCCTGAAATATTAGAAAAACTCTCAATTTACAATCATGAAAGTAAATACATCTAGCTGGGTTGAATATGAGCAACCCCTTGAATAGAATAGCTTTGTACCGCACTATTTCTGTAGTTTCGTGCATTGCAACCTATCTCTCACATTATGTTGTCCCTTAATCGATTTTTGCATCTTATTTATATTTTTCCTCAATATATATCCCCTCTCACTTCACTTGAGAAAGCAATCAATTACTCTTCACACATCAATAGCTCAATATGCCTTAATAATTTTAGTACCCACTATTTTACTTCTTATACAACACTCTTCAGATCAAATTCCTCAAATTTCTTCATTATACTTCATAGTATCCAGGCTTCTTCCTTCACATACACTTCTTTAAATTTTCATCTGAGCAGTGTACATCCCAATTATCTTTTCATATCAGGCCATGTACACTTTCAGATAACAGGTTGTTTAGCATCATAACTAACATACACTATACATTATCATACCATACAGTATCAAGTTATCAAGTAACAATCAATGACTCACTTTTTTACTACTAATAAAAGTTTGAACGCCATTCTCTTTTGCTGGATCACCAGTATGGCTTTCGCCAGGCGAGATCTACTGGTGATCTGCTCCTATTGCACCCATCTTTGGTCATCCTCTCTTAGGGAATATGGGGAATCTTTCGTCGTGGCTCTTGATATCTCCAAAGCATTTGACAGGGAATGACACAAGTCTTTGCTTTCTAAACTTTCCTCTTATGGTTTCTCTCCCCCACTTTGTTTTCTAATCTCCAGCTTCCTTGAGAACCGATCCATGGCAGTTGTTGTCGAGGGATCAATCTCTCGCTCTTTCTCTACCAATTGTGGAGTCCCACAGGGTTCTGTTCTTTCACCTACTCTCTTCCTCCTTAAATCAATGATTTACTTCACACTACAACTAAGTCTATCCATTCTAATGCTGATGATTCTACTCTTCACTCTTCTTCATATTTTCTTCTTCCTCCTAACTCTCAAACTAGATCTGTTTCTACAGCTGATATCATTACTTCTATCAATGCGGATTTGTGCAGCATCTCTGAATGGGGATGTAGAAACTTGGTTAAATTCAATAGTAATAAAACTCAGTATTTACCAATTACACTTTCTAAATTAGATGATCTCCCACCAATTACATTTCAGGATGCTATCATTCTGCCAAAATCTGAAGTAGATATGCTAGGCCTCACCATTTCCTCCAATATGTCATGGAAGTCACACATCCTCAACATAACTAAAATTGCCTCCCGAAAGTTGGGAATGCTGTACAGATGCCGTAGCTACTTCACTCCTGAGCAGTTGCTTCAAGTATATAAGGGATTACAGTAATTCATCCTAACTTGGAGTACTGCTCTCATATCTGGGATGGCTCTTCTTCTGTCCAACTGTTAGATAGGGTGGAATCAAAGGCATTTCGTCTTATTAACTCTCCTCCTTTAGTTAACAATCTTTCTTCCCCTTCTCTTCGCCGCAATGTTGCTTCACCCTCTCTCTTTTACAGGTACTTTAACGAACAGTACTCGGTGGATTTGGCATCCTGTGTACCGCCGGCAAGGCCGTGGGCTCGTAACACACGTTTTGCCCGCGGTGCCCAACGTTTTTCTGTGGATGTCGGTCACATTAGAATAACCTGTTATAGTACATCCTTCTTTCCTCACACAGCCAAACTGTGGAATGTTCTGCCTTCTTCTGTGTTTCCATACTTATACAATCTGTCTCACTTTAAAAAGCTGGTTTTCCGGCATCTTCATGGTATAGATTAACACAGTATAACCCCTTTCTTCTCATTCCCCCCCCCCCATGGCCACGTTGTGGGTCGTTCAACCTGTGCCCGGATGGGCTAATTCCCGCAAAAAAAAAAAAATAAATAAATAAATAAATAATAATAAAAAAATAAAAACATAAATAAATAAATAAAAAAAAAGGCCAGTGAGTGTTGCAGATTCCGTTGGCTGAGTGATTCTTTTGTAACAAAAGAGCTTGTCTGAAGAAGCATCTACAGTATTTCTTATTAAACTCAGCCACTGGTTAAGGAGCAATTAAATATGGGTGGTAGCATGATAGACAACAGATGAAAGGTCATCACAAACACATACACACTTTTACAACAGTGAACTGTACAAAAATTTCCTAAACATAAGTATTTGTATGTCACAAAGTATTGTTACCCTACGATTAATTAATAATTACCACATACCTGAAGAAAGTTGTCTCTGTAAAGACTGTTGTGAGGGTTGCTGATGCATCGAGCTCGCTGACTGATTTGGGCGGCCAGTGGGTGGCACTCCCATATTCACTCCCTGCATTGGAGGCAACGATGCCACATTTGCAATGGGACCACCAGTAACCGTGTTCCCACCAGGGGAATCTGCAACTCGTATATTGTTGCTAGATTCTCCGTCAATTCCACTACTACTGGTCTGTTGAGACAATATAAAACTGAATTTTCAGGGGGAATATAAGTAAGATTCATGTATTACTTAAAATTACAGTAATATAATGAAAGAAGAATGTGATAATTTTATACCAAATTCAAACAAGCCAAAGGAAAATATACTGGTCAAGTCATATAAATGGTGCTCTAAAGGTTCAGTTTCCTTCCTTCCTTCCTTCTTATGTATACCTGTACTGAACTTTATTCAAGATGGCTTGAGACGTGGTTATTATACAGTTCCATAATATTTATTTCAAAATTGCTTAACTTTAATTGCATTTGCTGGTATTTTTCTTTTTTGTGAGGTAATTTAAAAATGTTTGGATAAATTTATATTTTAGGCTAATGTGAACAACCCAGAGTCCTGACGATATCAAAATAGCGAGGGATTCAGTGTTTGTATGTTTCTCAAAGCAACTAAACACACCTACCAATAAGCTAGTGTTAATTCCTTTCAATGTAGATACTCCATTATACTTGTATTACCATTAGCTCTTTATAATTACAGCTTTTACATTAACAACTAGCAATGCCCCACACTCCGCACCCTCCTCCAACTCCCCACTGAGCCAGCTAACTTGTGCGCAAAGACATGTTTATTCCCTTTACTTTTTTTGCACAATTTGTATGTAGGTTGGTGTGCATGTAGGTAATAAAAAAAAAGAGAGAAAAAAAAGTTACATATATCTTCCATAAAATACGAGTTGAAAAATAACCATATTATAGCTCAGCACTTAGCCTGATAGCCTAATGGCTACAGTGACGAATCTAACTTGGCTACAATATCACTAGCAATGTTAACAGATGCAAATGTGAAAAGAAAGTTATCTGTAAATCTTCATTGGTATTAGGTATTTGTAGATTTAAAGATAAATGTTGCAGGTATGATATTATCAGATAGTAGCACTTGTGAGAGTTCAGAAAGGGTTACTACTTTCTGCTTAGCTCTGAAGAGTTGGGTGCCTGCTGTACACACGCTAATCGTCTTGTATGTTATTATCATCAGTTCAGTAGTTATAGACCCAGCTTTTATATTTACAATAAATCTTTTTTTAATTAATTAAAAGTATTAAAAATGTGTTTAAGTACACAATAACATATTTTTAATTCTGGAGTTGGGTTAGGTATAATTTAGGTTACTGGAGACAGCAACTGGGGATTCATAAGCTTAAGGGAGACAGCAACTTCACAAATAGGACGCAGGATGATTTTTTGTGCCATTTTCCAACAAAAAAGTGTCTTTTATGTCATAAAATATGGTACATTCTCGTACTATCTTCTTTTTTTCCTTCCAGAATCTGGTTTGTTTCTGTTTCCAACCTTGCTAGATAATTGATATACATTACAGTACTTCTCTTAACATGCAGAGAGAAAAATAACTTACCTGACAGGGTGCATTATTGACATAATATGTAGGCAAAGAGGGAGCTTTATACATTTGATGGACTTCCTTATCCAAAAGTTTGTCCATAATGCGAGCCAATCTGTCCTGGTCATCCTTGTAGTGAGTCAAGAGTGTGAGTGCCAGTTCTCCTCTCTGGTAAGACAAAGCTTGCCATTAATTGTAATAAAAACCCAAAACTATTTTGAAAAAAATCATAATTCTCAGTAATTTAAAGAAAGTTGAAATGAGTGCATAAAGTTCTTAATTATGGAATAAAATATTCTTTTGAACACTGGTAATATTTTTAATATAAAATGAATATTTGCATGTAAATATTATAATTTTCACACCTGTCTTCTGGTAGCTTCACAGAGCAATGGATGGTCAGCCTCACACACATTGGCTTTCATGCCAATTGCAGCAACCGCAGCATCAAAACCAAGTGTTTCATCTTGTGGCTGCCGGCAAGTCTGACCTCCCACAGAATTCTTAGTTGTTCCTGAATCAAGGAAAGTTGTTAACAAGTGCATCTTTACATAGAACAAGGATCTGATGGTTACATCAATTACTGTACTAATTTCTGGTTTATTCATCAGAAAGTGGAGAGGTAATCATCCGTATAAGTCACGGGCATCAACAGAAACACTACTTACCATCATCTTTTCTGTTCCTTAATCCAACTTTGTCACAGATCAAACAATGAAATTTCTTATAATCTTTCAAGTATTTTTTCTTGTGTATCAGTAGAATTAACCCAAAAATATTTCATTACTATATGACAGCCAAACCTTTCAAATACTAAATTCTTAATAGAAATGTACCATGCATGCCATATACAAGAGAAAGGCACTCCAAAAGTTATGATAAACACATCTCATCTCATATTTTCTACAGCTAATTCTGCAAACATAAAACAATTCTCTCATTCTTTTTTTCAACTTTCTCCAAAGCTTATTGAAGGGCAAAAATTTAATTTGTAATATTTCCTCATTCCCTGTTCCCCATGTACAGAGCTCAGTTATTATTTACACAATATACTTTACCAACTACAGTAAGATCTTGTATTTCGCGAGTAATATAGACGGCAAAAATTGCGCCAAATTCAAATTCGCCAAATGCAAATACATAAACTAACGGGAAAAATAACAATATAGACTGGCCACTCTACATCAACCTCTGATTTTCCCATTTATAACCTCCAAATGACACAAATTCTGCCATTATTAACCTGATTGTACTTTTCGGAAACTAGTTTTTAGGCCTTCCTCAAGTAACTTAATCACACGCTGCTTATCCTGCATCGAGTACTTGGCAAACTTAACTCCTTCATGATAGTCCTGCTTCTCCTTTTCCTTATTTGGCTGCTTAGGTGGGTCTGTCCCACCAGCACCAATAGGACCCCCAGAAGAGGTAGAGGCCATTATCTTGACTCGACAGGTGGTAGCACCACCCAAAAATGCACACAATTGCAGCCCGGGCGATCACTAGGATGGCGCGGGCTACAACGCGATAGTTGCGCTCTTGTAAACCTCTTTTACATTCACCACCGGCAATTCGATCACCAGAACGCTTTTGGAAACATTCTTCTTGCCTTGTCTTTCCGTATTCATCGCTAACACAATAAAATTGGAGAAAATAGCAAAAATCACAGAGTAATTGACAGAAATCGCACGATTCAACTGATCACGCGATGTAAACAGAGAGTGCTGGTGTAAACCATTATTAGTCCTCACTGCGAAACATTCTTTTTACTTATTCTTTTCATGCAGTATTTATGGGTAACAGGCTTAAAAAAAAAAAAAAAAAAAAATTTATTGAACATGTGATCATGTGATGTCGAACGTGAACTGGATGGAATTGTGCTATAGCCAACATTCGTATTCAAAAGTTCGTGTTTTACAAACAGGGTTCCCCTATTCATCAATCGCGTTGCAACCAATTCGCTTTGACAAAACACACGTTGTAGCAGAAATGACTGTAACTGGTGTAAGGGCTGTGATGTCATTAAAGACTGTGGCCAGCATTCAGCTTGCTGGATCTTGCGTTCAGCTGGCTGAATCTCGCCAAATTCACTAAATTTTACGCCAAATATAAGACTTGGTTACATTAGGTAGTGCTCGCGAAATAAAAAACGCGAAATGAAATCACACGAAATATGAGAACTTACTGTATATAACAAAAAAAGTTCTTTGATAATTCTGTCATCATTCTTCAACCACTACCTAAAAATCCTCAGTCCACTACACTATCATATAAAAAGGCATAAAAAAATATCTTACCAGCAATAACAAGGGCATCAAAGAGGAAGGATGCCAACATGAGTGGTAAGAGAGCTTCTCCTCGGGTCTTGAGCATACCTGATCTCATCTTCTCAGCCTTATCACGGATCACAGCCAATTCTAGTGGCCCCAGGGGTAGGCGTTTAAGGAGTGCCACTAGATCACTCTCCTGGTTTGCCAACTTTACCTCCAGAGGCTAAAAAAAACAAAAACATAAAACGTATATAAATAAAATAAACAAATCATCCTTTACATTCTCCTAGCATTTTATATCCAGATGTAAAAAAAGAAAAAAAATCTTTAAATTCTCAAAAATTTATATCCAGATGTAAAATATATTAATCTAAAAAACTTACTTTATAGCTGACTGAATCAGGCAAGTTATGTGTTACTAAATTATCAGATTGAAAATAATTATTTAATCTCTCCAGATACTTGGATGGGATGGGAAGGTCTAAGCTATCTAATTAATTAGTTACAACCTTGAACTGCAAGTAAGTGTAGCTAAGGATGGGTAGCTCTAGGCTATCATGGTCCAATGGGTGGCTGCCTGACCGCCAACCTTGGTGGTCTGGGTTCAAATTCCGTCATTCACAGACAAAAATTTTTTACATTGATTTGCGTCAATAGGAGTGGCTGTAACAAATTCATGAAATAGTTTAGATCTTTCCATCTCATCCAGATATGTGAAGAGGTAAGACAAATATGAAATGGTAATACAACCTATGCCTGAAAGTTGAGAATCTTATAGGTGTTATTAACATGTGTGCTCCTTAACCCTCATGTAACTTGCTTATAAACCATCATTCCAATAGGTCAAACCTCAGCTCCAGCCTATTGGAGTTATACCCATTGGGAGGAGGGAGGATAACTGAGTGGTTTGGTGAATGGTACTTCAGGATCAATTCCTAATTAATAACCAAACTCTTGGCTTGGGTGGCTCATACACCTCAAGCCACCTAGAAAACCAGAAAATGGGAAGGAGGTAAAAATAAGGTACAGACAATTTACTATGGTGACTTGCACTCCTTAGTGGAGTAAAGATACTAAGAGAAATGTAGCACTACCTTGTATCATACAATCTAAAAGCAGTGTTAATCCCCAAAGTAATGACTTAAAAAAGGAAAAACACAAAATTAAAGAACTCCAAATGCCCCACGCAAAGTCGCATGGTTGAAAAACAATGAACTCCTCCCTCAGAAGTGAAATCTAAGAAGAAAGATGATATGACATTGCCTGAAAACGTGGATAAGATAAATCTTGATAAAATTGTTTCCCTTTTCCCTGTGTGATTATATATATATATATATATATATATATATATATATATATATATATATATATATATATATATATATATATATATATATATATATATATATATATATATATATATATATATATATATATATATTAGGTATTTGTATTAATTTTTAGCACTTAATAACTCAATGATTTAGTGTTCAGTGTTAGCAATTTTTTCTTTTGCAATGCACTTAATGAAACCAAGGTTATAACCAATTGTCATATTGAGTTTTCAATATTAGTGCTTTTGTATTAATCTTCATATTCTAGATCTAATGATGACAAGAAATAATGTAAAAACATTTCCAAACAAATATGTTGCTATTTATCCATACTTTGATGCTCTTATTCATCCTATATATAGTACTGTTTATAAATTCACAACTTCTTCAAACAACAGTAATAATACAAGTCTCGTAACAAGTCTTATGAACTCAATTAACCAAAGTACTTTACCTTAGTGGATGCAGGAGGCCGTGCCATTTCCAGGCCAAACATAGCTACCTGGAAAGCTAAATGGGTGTGTTCAGGATTTTCTGCTAACACAGTACAGAGGAAGGCACATTTTCCCAGGGTAGCCGAGGCTAAACAAGTTAAGTGGTGAGATGCAGGGTTCACCTTCTTACGCTTTCCTTTACTTGGAGGTGGTGGAATGTCTATCATTAAATTTGGAGGATTGGCCAGCAGCTCATGGGACAACTGTACTGCAAGTTCTGAGGCCTCCTGGAGATGTCCATGTGCGTGGAGTCCTTCAGCACGGGAAAACAAGATCTCAAGGGGATCATCCAATTTTTTAAGATTACTGAAAATTTCTGCTCCTCTACTGCAAACTCCACCATCTCCGCCACTACTTCCATCTCCAACCAAGTTAGCATTGTATATATATACTTCATATTCATCTGCTCCGTGCAAATCTCTTGACCGCTGCCCTCTGTTACCCCCTCGACTTCTCTGGTGTCTAGTTGGTTCAGCCACCCCTGACCAGTCAGACTCAACTCCCCCATCGTCTGGAGAAGATTTGTCACGCTCATCTCTGGAGTGACTAACTGCAGCTACTAATCCAAGTGCAGCCATTGGTCGTTCTTCTCTGGAACTTTGGCGAGAAACCTGACCTGAATCAACTTGCTCTGGGGATCGCTGATCGGGTGGAGAGTCACTATCACGACCCACATCATTGTCGCAAAATCCTTCACTACTAACACTACTACTACGATGGCCACTATGTCTGTGACCAGCAAGTGGCACACCACCTGGTAGGTTCTCAAGATCACCGGGATTACCGGGACTAATTAACACACGGCGTTCTGAAGGACGCTTTGGTCCTGCATGTGATGTTGGATTTCTAGGATGTGGGGCAGAGATGGGTGCTGTTTGAGACTCATGTCTCGAATCATGTCTGAAACACATGACAGGGCAGTAGTAACGAGAAGCTGTGCGAGAATATGTGACGCCTGGAAGGGAATAGTCACTCCAATCCAGTTGACATGCTTCTAATGCTGGTTTAAAGCCTGGAAAGACATCTCCATCTGTAACTCGCTTGTTGCTCCCACTACCACTGCTACTGCCTGCCTCTGTAATGGAAGGTAAATAGTAAAAATGTAAAACAAAGCACTGCAATTTCATTGGGGTATTTTTTCCACTTTTATATCTACTCTCATTATAATATTGGGTGGCTACAATCTATCAGATAATCACAATTATTATTGTTTTGATTGCACAATAAGAGAATATAAATACAAACCTTTGCTTTTGGCAACTTTCTCCAAGACCTTAAGATGCCATCCTTTAAACTGTACTATGAGTTGTTCTCGCTCCTGTGGTGAGAGTGCTGGGTTGAGAGCTGCTAGGCGCCATAAGACAACGATCTCATCACAGAGGGAAGAGCAGGCATATTGACTACCATGGCTATTGGAGTTCATGTTGTTTTTACCACCATGGCCAGAGCTGCCCAAGTGCAGTGCTACCTTTGTATTTACCCACCACACCAAGATCTATGAAGAGAGAAATGACCCATTTACCTTCAGGGTTAAACTGACACCTTAGGGACCATTATTACTAAACCCTCAAAACTTTTACTTCATCTTCATTAAAGTAATACATTTGAGGGGTACAAACATAACCAATACTTCTGTTTGAGATATGATGTACAACATTTAACTGACTTGACCTTGGTGATCTTCACTTCATCTAGTGATGATACATGATCATGTGAAGTTTCATCTAAATATCAAAATACTGCACCTGCAAAATAATCATTTAAGTCCAAGACAATGAAATATTGATCAGAAACCAAAGATCTTTTACAACCACAAACAAAGTGATCTATAAATTACATAAGCCTGAAGTTTCTGCACATCTTTACCTTCTCTGTGGCCAAGCATTCTTCAGTGATTATTTCTAGCAAAGGAATGGAATTCCGATCATTCCTTTTGAACATTTCACGAACAATGGATAGCAAGTTCCACATTCCCTCGGGTTCCCTTCCTCGTAGCGGTCTCAACAACGATGCCCATTCTGCCGCAACAGGAGGGGCAGTGGAACTAAGGTAGTTGACATCACTGAAAAATACAGTACAGGTATACAGGTACAATCATATTGCTGTTTTTCATCAATTTGCAAGTTTAATCAATTTATTGAAGCTACTCTAAGCATCAAAGCTCTAAGTGCTTTGATAACATTTGTTCTCTTGATAGCAAACTGAAAATATGAAAAAATAAATAAAAAATTCCTTTCATTTCAGTTGACAAATTTGTTGGCCTATGAATTCTAACATCAACTCAAAACAGAAGGACTAGGTATAAAATTATAAGCTACAAAGTTCTACAAACTGATTTAGTTAGTACAATAAAATGTCCAAATTTACATCGCACCATTTTACTGGATATGCTGGTTTGATAGGTTAGGTTGGTAAAATGTTAATCTGGAATCCTATAATTTAAATATTGGCCAGTATGAATGAAATTAAATAAATTTCATTATTGTAATATGAATACTAGGTTTTGTTAATGTCTGGTTTAATCCACTGTTGTAGCTATGTACAATACAGTAGATACTTAGAAAATTTAGTAAATTTCAGCAATGGCAAACTATCACCCACTTACACCACTACTTCTCATCATCACATACTGTACAATGGTTGTTGGATTAGATGTGTTTGTATACTTAAGGCTTTTCTATAGGAAACATGATTTTGTCTGGGAAGCTTTCAAAATTGTAGCAATGATTAGTGTGAACACAGAAATTTGTGGGCTACAGGGACATCACATTAAGTCTTGTAACACAACAGTCATTTAAGTGACTGTGCATAATTTTCTTTCAGGCCTATTAATATACAATGACACTGTTAAATGTACAAAAATGTTATACAGTACAGTACTGTTTTTATATACTGTAACATGTATAAAAACTTATTAGTGTAATAAAAAACATATCATACATTGACTTATCTTCAAGTACATTCTTTTAATACCATACATATTTGTACAATATTGAAAAGAGTACTGTACAGTAATACCCCGGTTAGCGCTACCCTGTAGAATGCTGTTTCGTTATAGAGCTCTTGCTTGCAACTTGGAAAAATAAATAAATAAATAAATAAAATAAAAGTACTGTAGTCAAAAGCCATGAGTCCGAACATTCAAAACACGCAAAGAGCAACTCTCTTTGCTTTAACACACTTAACCAATCAGCGCCAAGTGCTCTGTTTACAGTACAGTACAAAATTTAATTTGCTACGCTTATACTGTGGACACATTCTTGTTGACTCGCTGATTTTTCGATGAGTAACTATTTTTTATTCATCGTACCGGGAAAATGACCAGCAAGTTCTAATGCTGCTGGTGCGTCTAAAGTGCCATGGAAAAATATCTCGTTGAATGTAAAATTACAAGTCAACACATGGAAGCTGGTGAGCGTCAGGTGGATGTCAGTGCTGCTTTCAACTTGGCTACATTGACTGTAAGAACTGTTATTAAGAATGCAAACAAGATTAAAGCTTCAGTTATGACAACTATGAAGTTAACAACAACAAAGGTGATGTGTTCAAGGAGTACTGTAGCTTGTTAGAAAAATGGAAGGTAAGCTAGGCATATGGGTGGATGACCAATCACAATGTAACATGCCATTAAACCAACTCATCATCATGGAAAAGCAAGGAGCATCTTCAGGCACCTGCAGAATGAAGGAGTTGATTTAGAAATATTCTCAGTTAGCAGAGATTGGTTTGATTGGTTCAAATGGCTCAGTAACTTGCACAGCATCCGCATTTATGGCAAGGCTGCGAGTGGGGATGTGCAGGTTGCTCTGGAATTTCCCGCCACCCTCAAAGATATCATCGAGTGTGGCAAATATCCTCCCCAGCTTGTCTGCAATATTGATGAAATCGGCCCTTTCTGGAAGAGAATGCTATCCTGCACTTTCACCTCTTGAGAAGAGAAGCGTGCTTCTGGGTTCAAGGTTGCAAAAGACTGCTTAACACTATTGCTGGGGGGTAGTGCTTCAGGAGACTTCAAACTGAAACCAATGTTCATCTATCACTCTGAAACACCACGAGCTATGAAGGGATTTTCAAAAGAGCTTCTGCCTGTGATATGGAAATCAAATAAGAAGGCCTGGGTGACAATCAACATTTTCCAGCATTTATGCCCAGCAGTAAAATGCTATTGTGAAAAGAAAACCTTGAACCCAGAGCATTGTTGGTGGTCGATAATGCCCGAGGTCACCCTGAGAAGCTATATACCCTTTGGACCTGCTTATCTGTAGAAGTGGTCTACCTCTACCTAATACAACTTCCTTGATCCAACCAATGGATCAGGGAATCTAATCAAATTTCAAGGCCTATACTGCCTTTGTTGCACCTTCAGACAACTAGTTGAGGAAACAGATAATGAAGATAAACAATCTATCAGACAATTTTGGAAAAACTATCACTTCATGAAGGCCATACCTAATATTAAAGAAGCCTGGGATGAAGTGACAAACAATTGCATGAACAGAGTTTGGAAGAACATATGGCCAGAAGCATGCAATGACTTCCTGGGCATTGACACATCACCAACGATCGCCATTGACATCTTGAAGCTGTTCAACGAAGCAGGACTGGAGGATGTCAATGTGGATGATGTGGAGGAGCTACTGCAGTCTCATGGTGAAAGCTTTACTAATGATGAACTGTGGGAATTAGCACAGCAACACATCCAGAGTAAGAGAAATGATTCTGATACAGAAGTGCAAGATACACCACCAGAGAAAACCTCACCACAGCATTCCTCAGTGACAGCATCACCAAGGTCATAGACATCATGGATCAGTTTGCTGAGAATGACCCAGACTGGGAGCGTAGCAGCAAGGCTAAGAGAGATGGTCTCGACATGATTTCCTGCTACAAAGAATTGCTTTGTGAGAGAAAACTCAAGAAAGAGCAGTCAACCCTAGATGCCTTCTTCAAAAATCAGCCAAAACATGAGGAGCCACAGCCTGGCTCCTCATCCCAGAGTAACTGCTCCTGTCCTACATCATCTCCCACTACTGTTGTGATGTGTTGTTGGTTTCGTGCTTTGTTGTAAGTAGCCATGACTACAATTAATTAGTAAATGTTTTTTATAATTTTTATATTAAGTATAGGTCTTATTGTATGACATAAAATTGTATGCGGTGGTGGGTTGGAGATCAGCTGCTGAGGAGCGCTTGGCAACACCCAATGCGTGTTATCACTCCTTTCCACTTCACCTCTTTAATCACCGTGCTATGGAACATAATGTTGAATGGATACAACATTGCTCATTTATACATATACTCTGACAGTGCTGCAGGTGCAGTGTTACCAAAGAAACTGATAGATGCATCACCTCCTCACCACATACCAAAATTTCCCTCACCACTCCCACCATCACCTCTACCCCTATTATCACCATCTAAATCATAATTTGTCATGCAGAGATGGTTTAGCATCAACCAGACCAGAGCTGTACAATATCCACTGCTTCCTTCCCTTCCCCCACCTACTCATTACGTCTCACGCTCGTTCGTCACACGACAGTCACTTATGATACAATATTATTTATTTGTTATTTATTTATTAGTAATATATGTTACTGTAATAATCTGTTTATTAATACCTGTACCCTTCATATACAATACTGTATATATCTCATAGGTAAAAAATATCATCATCAGGAATGCATCTCCATATTTGCCATGGTATAATGAGCCCTTAGAATAGAACGCTGTTTTAGATAATGTTCTATTATCCAGGAACGCATCCAGAGTGCTAAATAGGGTATTACTGTCCAGTATTGTTTTATGTATAATATTTAGAAATAAGGATGGTGAAGTGGCTGTGCAGTGTGACATAGAATGATAGGAAACCCTGTTCGGAGCTAAGAAGGCAATTAGGTATTGAGAGTATTGGTGAGGTTTTGCAGAGGTATGTGGGTCAAGAGGTGCATGAGTTTGAATGTGGAGGGAGGGGGGGAGGGAGTTAGTGGCAGGCCAAGAATTAAATGGGAAGATGTTGTAAGAAACACCTCTGAGATAAGAACCCGATGAGAGAGGCTGAAAGAGATTGTGCAGCATGGAGAGCTGCTATCAGGTAAGCAAAGATAACCCATGTAAGTGAGGAAAATGGATATAAAACAGTGATGATGATGATGAAGGAAAAACATAAGGCTACATGTTTAATTTCCAAGATTATTCATAGTTTTATGTACAGTATTTCATTATACAGTAATTCTCAGGGGTACACTGCCTAATACCAGATTTAGGAAGAATCCTTTAAATTATGAATTCTATCCTAAACCACTTAATAAAAACAGGATTTTACTGGACTGTACACTGTCCAGTTTACTCTTTTGAACAACATGACTGTTAAACTTACCTGAACACAATTGGTGATGGTACACAAAATTTAACCAAGATCTTGTGAATGTTATCATGTAAATTGCTCTCATCTAACCACCATGCCATCTGCTCATTGGCAGAACCTCCTGCAGTTGGATCTGGTGCTCCTGAAACCTGGCCATAAAAAATGTACAATAGAGAACATTTCATCAATTTGTTAAAAATGTTATTTTAATCTCTGTCCACACTCTTCACATCCTTGGACACAGATCTATGTCTGCATAAAAACCATGAGGTATCTAGGTACCAGTGTTATTACTTATCTAAACAATCCAGCTATTTTGTGGTGATGTTACATATTATAAGTGAGTGAATTCAGTGCATTTCCAATAATATCAAGCCTGATCCTATTAACACAATACATAATAAAAACTGACCAGTGTTCCAATAAAAATGCTTTTTAGGGCAATACACTCCTTCACAAAATAAAATCACTGAAACAAACAAAGAAACTACACAGCGTAACTCACAGTGTTGATGTCAGATGTTTGACTAGAGAGAATTTCATCAATGAGCCGTTGTGCTGTAGGTAAAATCTGCTGTGGCAATTCACTGATAAGGTACTGAGCAAACTTTTGCAGTTGATCTCTCTGTAGCCGTGACAACGACTCACTGACTGGGGCACGGAGTTTAACCTGACTTGGCTGTAGTACAAAGAATATAAATGTAGTATGCATAAAGTGCACTTTCCACATAGACATAAAAACATAATCAGATAGTAAAGAAAATACTCTATATTTAATGTACATCCATTTGTATTACATTTTGTGTGTGCAACTTAGCAAAACTGAGAAAAGTATTACAATGATAAATGACAGTACTAACTTCAATTTAACTTAATTTATAAACAGCAAAAAAGTTAAATGTTTGTAAGGGCGGAAACTATCTTCCTGCTCGTTACCGCTGCTAACTCTCTCATTTGCTGGTGCAGACGACACCTGGGGCGGTTGGACAGAGGTGAGAACGGCAGCGACTATCTGGGTCACCGGCAGATTCAACCCAGCCGCCATACAGTCACTATCTAGCTACCCCGCTGTTCGTCAAATTCTGGCTGTGATCTCATCATAGGTCCTGGACTCGTGGGCTGCGTCCCCAGACCTTCACCTATCGACTGTCAATTCTCTGGTCATCTACCACTACCACATACCACGACCGTCAATTCATCCCATTCCGTCTGTGCCCCGGTGTTCTCCTGCCATTTCAAGACAATCAGCCGCTGTCGCTCGAGTGTGGAGTTGAATGGACGCTTCCCTACCCTGAGTGTGCATCACCGTGTTCCAGAACCTTCCCCCAGGGCCACTGCCGTAGGAAATATCTGTTCATTGTTTGATTTTACGGTTGTTTGATTCCATTAATTACTGACTCCCATTAATTGTTTGATTCCTTTAATTGTTTGCTTCCCTAAATTGATTAACTTCATTAACTATTGACTGCATTAATTGTTTGACTCCCATAATTATTTGTTGTTTGTTGTGTGGTGTCAGAGTTTTGTGTTATATTTTTTATAGTAAAGCGATGTCAATCTCAAACGGTTGTTTGCTATTCCTCAGAAAACCATGGTCTTGACTTTCCTTTATTAAGAACCTGATTGGTCTGGTAAGGGATTTCAATCCCTAATTCCCCAGGCCTTTACAATGTTGGAGTCAACATTCGTGGTTCATCCCCCCAAATATGGAAAAAAAAAATGTATTTCTATATTATACACATATACAACTCCTTCCATTCTCAGTCATCCTCTGGGTAACACTATTACATAATAAATAAATATATAACAGCTATTCACATATGTAAACTAACTCAATAATTCATTTGAGGTTGCACCATTATATGTGTATTTAAAGAAAACAAATTTAAATATCATATTCGGTTGTGTTTATGGGTAACTCAAGTATCTCAATCATGATGTACAAACTGGTATTGCATAATATAGTACTGTATAATATACAGTACAGTACAATATTGTTGTTTGGAAGTATATTTCATTGTTTTATTAATGTTTTTCACCATTGTATGTGTATTACAAGAAAAACTTAATGAAATGCAATACGTACCACATATGGTTGTGTTTATGGGTGACTTAAGTATCTCAAACATACACTAGTCGCAAATTTGGAAAATTTGCAGGGTCTGTGGAACCTCCCCTGCAAATAGCAAGGGTCTACTGCATTTGAAAAAAATAGTTAATCTATTATATTTCTTCCATTTCCAATTTCTGTATCCTGTTAATTATGAGAGAGAAAGAAATTGCACAAAAGTGATAAAAAATAATTTGAATAGATAAGAATGGGTGAAAGCAGCAAGAAACCACACACACTTCCCCATATCCTCAACTTACAAGTACAGTACATTATACACAAGTACAACTCCTTCCACCAATTACCATTTTCACCACTAGTGATTTTTCAGGAGTTAGTGGAAATACATGGCTTTGCAAACATTGAGATGATTTCCAGCATGTCTTTAGTCTTTGGAATCCATAACTTTTAACATTATTGTTAACAATTTACCATGTATATTAATTTGAGTCATCAGGTTCATTCACATTAACACTACCATGTATAAAATAACTGTAGCCATACAATTTACAATACAGTAATTCTATCATTATCTAATGTGACCAACTCTCAACCTCAGTATTACCCCAATAGTTCAATACTTTATCACCAGTCCATCTCTTCCACAATCTTCCCTCATTTTACTTTTTTCAAGTTACTGCCATATATCCGAATTAAAAATACCTTCCCTACCATGCACTTCATTAGATCCAATTACCACTAAAATCTCCTTTCTTAACCTTAAACTCTTCACTATGGAGATGCCACTTTCAATACTTTATTTGGCTAATGCCAGATGATTTTATTCAGCTCAGAGGGGAACCTGTACACACAGATTTAAGTGTATAAATACAGTACAGAGGTTAATAAATGTACATTGTACACATAAATACAACTCTACACTGCACTATCTGCCTGGACTTAAGTTGGAACAAGATATTCCCTAATTAAAATATCTCAACTACTGTACATACCTGGTGTATCCTGTGAAGGCATACAGCCACCACATGGGAACACCAAGAGGCATTTGCTGAACAGGTACAATTGCAGGTGGTGATCCTGCCCCGGTCAAATGTAACCGCCACATTGAACTGTCCTTTTGTACCAGATGATGATACTACTACAGTTGCACTGAGATGAAATCCTGAAATGAATATCAATACTGTTAGCAATTTTCCTAGACCACATTAAATGAAAGTTTGTGAAAATTTATAAACCTGACTATAGGACACAAGACGGTCGAAATAATTGTCATTAATAAAGCAGAAAAATATATTGAAATGTGTGGGAAGCCAATGTAAACAGACATGTGAAATAAAATAAGTAATTTATAGATAATCTCAGGGCTAGACACCTGAGTTGGCCCTGGCAATATTAACGGGTAGCTTCTCTTATGTCATGCCAATTTTTGGCCAAGAATATAAGAATACTCTACAATTCTTTATATGCTCCAAGGTTAACGATAATGTAAAAGGTGAAATAAAGGTTAATAATGAAGCTGTAAAACACCATAAACTAGTAACACTGACAAAAATGATTTAAATACAGGTACATGAAAATGCAATGTATGTAGCTAGTTATGATTTGGTTATGCAATGTAAATAAAAATTTTTGGTAATAAAATCATGTTGCATACTGTACTTCTCAATTGTGTTACGGTGAGGTAAAATATTACGTCTTGTGATGAATGGTAGTAATTTGCCAACAATGTCACTGTGTAATCTACAGTATATTTACCAAACCTACACTGAGCAAACTTTACCTTCATAAATATCAATAAATTATGTAACTGTAACTACAGTATGGGAGTGATGACTATGGGTTTTACTGTATACTTGTTTCTTTCATTGGTAAAATTATAATTATTTCCTTTCACTTTAAAACCTAACATCTCAATTGCAGAGTGTACAGTATTCCTAGGACAATTCTAAGGCACAATGTCGATTGACAAAATGTCATAATCCAAATACAGTACTGTACTGTAGTTTCGTAGCAACAGCACTTGAAAGAGGTTGCGGTAATGATAGTGAGGTTGGAGTGAAACAGCCATAGAATTTTGTGTTATTTTGTGCACACAACTCTACACTCGCAGAGGGAGGGAATTTTGAACATTAACTATAATAATATAACTGTGTCACACTGTAAAGAGTTAGCTGCATAAAATTAAAAAAAAATCAATGGCTGTTTCACTCCAACCTCACTATCATTACTGTAACCTCTTTCAAGTGCTGTTGCTACGAAACTACAGTACAGTACTGTATGTGGATTATGACATTTTGTCAATCGACATTGTATGCAATTGAGAATCCCCCTTGTTTGCTGTGCCTGTGAGAGACTGTTATCCTGAGCTTTACTACATAAAAAGGTACTGTACACAAACATTTATAAGAACACAGACAGATAAGTGTTCTTTTCCATAAAATTAGGCTTTAAAATTTAGATGGACAGGCAAAGTAAATGCTGCATAAGATTCAATAAAACATAAATAAATTTAGGATAATGTGGAACCAAAGCATTTATGGAGTTTTTGCACAAGAACTAAAGAAAGATGATAAACATAAGAGAGAGAGAGACCTACCAATCTGTAAGGGATCATGAACACTTTTGTGCTTGTAATGATTGTCTCCACGAAGAAATTCATCGGCATTTCCATTTGCCAAGCAGCTGTAAAGCCGAATATCTTCTTCATTTTCAGGGAAACTCCAAAATGCAATGAGAAGCTGTAATTGTTCTGGGACAGGTGGCATCATCTGTTCCACCACTTCAAAGGGGATATGTGCCGCCACTGTGCGTGCACACATCTCAGTGAGTGAATGTACTCCGCCATCTGTGAATAAGAATAAAACTATAAAACACCAATATCATAGAATCAAATTCAAGAGGGATGATGACAGTAAAATTTCTTTTTTATAAAGAACACCAGAGATATCCAAAACCCGAAGAAAACACTCTTCTTCTACAAAATATAGTACATTACAGGTAAAATAATGGATATATAAAAAAAGAAGAAGACAATTTTGAAATTTTTACCCAAATTATATAAACACACCAATATTTTTATGAGGCCTTAAGAAACCCTGATGGCAATAACATACTCTTACAGGGTGGTCCTGGTTGTAGAGATGTTAAAAAAACACACAAACATTACAACGAACTCTTGATACTGACCTTGAGCTCTAGTACGGCCATAAAGGAGGGAAGCAATTTTTTCAGAACGCTTCCACCCCCTCCAGTTGTTGCAGAGGGACTCGGGCTCGCTGATCCAGCTACATAGTGAGTCCTCTTCAAATCGCTCCGAGTCCTCAAAGGAGAAACGATCCCCTTCCTCCCAATCGAACATTTGTTGAGCTGTAATGGTGCAGCGTGGTGGGGCCCAGGATGAGGAGGAAGAAAAAGGTGGAGAAGACTTTGAGGAAAAGAGGCAAGAGGAATAGGATGAGGAATGGGAGGAGGTGGATGGAGTGGAAGAAGAAGATAAAGAACCACAAGAGGATGGGGAGGAAGAGGATAAGGATGAGGAGAAGGAAGAGGAGTAGGACGAGCACTTACAGTTGGTGGCCACAATGTACAAGCACCTTAGGCTAAAAATCTGTAGGTACTAATGAGACACAGTTTCCAAATTCTGACAGTCTCCTGCCACAAAGATTGTTTGTGCTGCAGCTGGCTGGGGTAACTCTTCCACACTCTAGTCATATTTTCCAACTTATGACTGAAAAATATTTAATGCTACTTATTTTCATGTACGGTACATTACTGTATATTCAATATTTCAATGCCAGTGCACTATCACTTACAACTCACACACATTTTTTTTGCCATACTTCATTGTTAAGATCATGAAGCTTCAACTGTGATTACACTTGACTGCCATTTACCTGTTGTTCTAAATAATATGAATTTTTTTTTCAGTTTATAGCCAAGTTTGTTCATAGTCTCAATCCAGGTTTTCCTGCCACAAGTGCAGCTGGTGAACCAATTCTAAATACAGTACAATAAACATTCCTTGAAAGAGGAAAAATTCATTAATATAAAAGCATTTTTAGTGTCAGACATGATATAGCTACTTTGAATAATATTATATAATACAGTACCATATACTACATTTCATTATAGGCCAAATGAAAAGACAAGACAAAAAGTTCTTCCTTCTTACTCTACACCTTGGAAAAAAAAAGTACTGCAGTCTAAAGGCATGTATGATGCAGCTGTACTATATATGAATAATGATAAATATGAATCCTCAATAGCATAGTGTAGCTACAGACCACAGTATATGTACCCTCAGGTTAAGTTCCTGTACTTACAGTACAAGTAATATACAAGTTACAGCAACTGACTTTTTAAAAATTACAGTGTACAGTAATACAGGTACATGTACTGCTGAGTAAATGAAAAATTAAGTCTAACCTCAGCATGGTCTATTTCCACACCTTCCATTTCCTCTACTTGCTGGAATAATGCCTGGGATGCTGGTTTTTCCTCTCCCAAGTAGCAGACATAAAGTGTGCAACATTGTAACAGACTAAAAAATCCCCTAAGAATAAACTCAGAACAAGGTTAAGAAATACTGAGCAGTAAACTGTATGGTGTACACTTGAAACAGCACAAAAGCTATTTTGGGTTACTGTACTCATCTGAGTGTCATGAAGCAAAAATTTTAATGGTTTCATAATTTTTCATTCATTACCGATCAACTTCATGAGCTGTATTATGATTCGAGTAAATACTATACCACAGAGGCAATTAAATATTAAATACAGTAAGCAATAACATAAAGAAATTAGAACTAAAACATGTTACGACAATAGCAACAAAAGGGACAGGTAACTCAGAACTATCCTATAATAAGTACTGTACAGTACTCACATTTCCATTTTGTACCATAAAATTACATAAGATACATTACAGTTGTGATGTGAATGCTTTAAACTTATCAAAGATTCGAGGACTTACTTTACTGGGTTACAGTCTTCCATAAAAGTATTTAATATCCAAAGGTGTTGATCACATAATTGATATTCTAACCACCTGAGCATATGCCTGCCAGTTTATTGCATCTGAAATTAACTACCCTAATACTGTATTGAGGCTGGGGCTAATCTTCAGGTAATCCATATAAAGTTCATAAGGTTACTGTCCTGCTGGAACCCATTTTCTTTTAAATTTATGGATGGATTTATATAAAAATTTAACACATTATTTAGGCTCATCCAACAGTGTTTCCTTTAAAATTTCAACATATTTGAGAGGTACTTTTTTATTTATTAATATATTGGGTATTTATTTTTTATTTCTATTAATTGAATACAGTACAGTAAAGACTTTTGATGGAAATTGTTTGTGCTTTAGGTGATATAAAGAGCATGGACTGATTATATTTCAAAACTAAAACCAAACAATTATACACATTTAATGGTGTGAAAAAGCACTAAGTTTACAAAAGCATTGAGGACAGAATAAAGCCAAAATGGGTCCCATAGGCTTGACTGCCTGTTAGGAATAATGTGGATACAGCAGACTGTATACTAAGCCTTCGGTATACAAGGAGGCAGCATGGCCGGTATGGCACTCAAATACATTCACTTCTCCAAGTTGTAAACTTAGGTAGCTACAGTACCCATTTACAGCGAGGTAAACTGGGAATGTCCAAGAATTGAACCACCATCTCCTGAAACAGGAGGCCACTGTACTCCATACTGAGGACTACGAGTACTGGACTATATTTCTCATTATATATTCCACTCCACTAACCCCTCAGTTACATAACAGTGTAGATAGCTTATGTATTCCCAAAGTAATATTTAGTTAGGTCAGCCCCACTCTTATAAGATACATACTAGTAAAGCAGACTGTTTAGGTGTCGTACAACTTAATCAATCATCACTTGAGTAAATCACATTACGTTTACTAAATCAATCATCAAAACATTGACAATAAAGTGAATCAGTCACAATAATATAGTTATTGTACTGTTATACAGCAATAGCTATACTATTTGATCTATGACATATACTGGTATGGTATTGTGCCAGTTTTTAGTGTATGATTTTTCTTGTTGAATTTCAATATAGTAGTACAGTAGTCATTAATCAATGAATATACAGCATGTACTATACAGTACTGTATATGTGTATATGTATACTGTACCAGGTAGTTACTGGTACAATACCTTCATTTCTTTACTAAATAATTATTACAATACAGTAAGGTGCACCAATCAGGCGTGTAACCAGAAGTTCCAAAATAAATTTTATAGGGATCGCCAATAGTTGCTCCTTAACTTATTTCACCTAAAGAATAACCATCTAAATGCTATCTTGGAGGATTAGGTTAGGTTAGCATTAGGATGGTTTATTTTAAGATGAAATAAGCTGACGAGGGAGGGGGTAATTTCTCAGGTGACCCTATAAAAGTACCAGTGATAACAGTTACAAGTTATTCTTATGTGGTTTATTTATCATTTTATAGTTGAACAATGATCAAAATCAGATATGATTCTTCTAGCTCACCAGTAAGACTTAACGTAATTATTTTTTATTTAGTTACTTCAATTCATTATATACATCAAAGGCTGACTTTGAAAAGTAGTACTGTACAGTAGTTGCCATGAATGCTAAAAATTAATCAATTACATACTGTAAAGTATATACTGTACAGTAACTATACTGTTTGAATGTTTGTGAAAGATATAGACATTACTTTCTCAGGGGTAGAAATTCACACATGCCCGAGGCGACCAAAATATCATAAGGGCGAGCAGATCTTAGAAATTTACTGTTTTTTAATCGCCCGGCAGGAAACTAGCATGTCAGATTTACAGTGTCTAGGAGCTATCCAGTAGTTTTGAAATTTTTTTATATTTTTGACAGTCTGCTTTACCATAAGGAAGTGCTTAGTGCCCAGTTTATAAAAAGCATTGCAGAAGCAAACGTGTGTTGTAAGCGTGAACCCGCGTACTTGGACATTGCGCCCACCTTGGTTGGGCCCTATTGCTCCCAGGGAGTCAGCGATCTCAGTGTAATTAAAACCTCCATACAGTACTGACGTGATGTCCAAAGGGAATTGTTTGATATGTGGAAGAATGTTAATCCAATACCAACCAAACAAAAAACAACGAAGAAAAGTTAGAACAGCAGCGTCAATATGAGCAATCAACAGTATATTACATTCATATTATGGTGACACTTGAAGGAAGAAACATGTTGGTAGTGGTACAGATGGGGCCAGTGTTATGACAAGTTGCAAAAATGGCTTGGTAGCTCGATTGAGAAGTGATTTAGAGCGGCCAGAGTTGGGAGGTATTCACTGCACTGCAAATAAACTTGAACTGGCTTACAAGGATGCAGTGAAGGATGTACCACTTGCCAAGAAGGTTGACCTACTGTTGCTAGGAATATACAAAATCTATGAAAATAGTTCTCTCAACAGAAGCATGTTGAAGCGGGCTCGTGAAATATGTCAGCTACCATTTTTGGTTCCAACACTTGTGGGTGGTACAAGCTGGCTCCCTCATATGCTGCAAGCTTTACAAAATTTACAAAAGAGTTACAAGGCTATTGGACTTCACATGCAGCAGGACTCATCTAGCAAAGCTAAGAACTATCCAATGCTTCTAACCAGTGCTGATATAATCAAGTACATCCACCTCCTCCTGGATATCTTGCGTTGCCTTGGGCGCCTTTCAGAGCAGTTTCAACACAGACAAACAAATATTTCTGCTATCACGAATGAAATTCAGGCCTCGGTTGACTTACTCAATAAATATTTAACAAGCCCAGGAAGATTTTGGAAGGTGACACTACGATATTCCAAGGAGAGAAGCTGGGTGATAGAAATAGTGCCTTCATGGCTGCAAGGCATGATATGCTGACATCTCTTATTACAAGTTTAAAGAAAAGATTTATTGACATGGCCAGTACAGTTCTGCAAAATTCATGAATTCTGGATTTCAAGCTGTGGCCTGCAGAATACACAGGGAATGAAGGTTTTGTAGACACCGCTGTGGGAGAGCTGGCTTAGTCTCTTGAGAAAACATAGAGGCAGAAGTGGATCCAACCAAGATGGAGGATGAATGGACTGTACTCAAATGCTATCTCTACAAAATGAGTAAGATATCACCTGTTTCAAAACTGTCCTGGTAGCAAATATATGAATCATACAGAAAAAGAGTGGTTCCCTTTTCCATTTAGTTGACCTTCTGCTGTCCATTCCAATCAGTTCTGCTGATGCTGAATGTGGCTTCAGTCAGGTCAAGTTCATCAAGACAGACTGGTGCAGTCGCCTCACCGATGACCACTTGACAGATCTCCAAGTGGTCCAGTTGCAGTCAGAATGTGTTAGCAACTTCAATCCAGAGCAAGCCATCAACATATTTTTAACAACTGGGGCCCGTCGTGTTGATGGGTACTACACAGATGGCTGCAGCACAGAGGAAGTGCTGGACGATATCGAAGAATTGGACGAGGAGCATATACAGAAACCTATTGACCAAATACAGTGAAGAAGAAAGCCCTCAGTTACTTGCAGTTACATATACAAACAGTACAGTAGTGTTTTAAGAGGATAATTTTTTTTTATAAATTTCAGCTAATGATACAAAGTAAACAAGAAAACAGATTATCTGTATTATAATAATATGTTGTACATGCCAGTGTTTGCAATTTGAATATAATTTACCTTTTGCTATTAAGTTAAATAAATAGTCAAAGTAAACAACTTTCTATGTAGGCCTACCCGGTATACTGTATGTCAACTATTGAAATTTTAATTTTTTTTTAATGTCTCGTAAAATTTTGGAAGGGCTAATAAACTTTGGGAAGGGCTAGTAACTATTCGGTTCTATTAGTCTGGCTGGCTACCTGAAAAAAAAGGGGAATTTCTACTCCTGCTTTCTTATCCATTAAATATTATATACAGTAATGCTTAAGCTTATTTTCATACCCTACAAAATGGCTTCTTTACTTTCATATTTGTAATGTCATTCCAGTGGTGAAAACAAAAGACTAATCTCACTTAAGCAGCAGCAAGTAGGTCATTGTCTCTTGTGTGTTTTGGTGTTTCAGCAATACAAGAACAAAATCTGAACAATGAATTCAGCCATAATAAACCAATGAGCACTGGAACAGCTACTGAAGGATTTGTTCCTGCTAAATACTGTATAGACATTATTCAATGATTTTTTTATTATCAAAGTGTGCATAACCATGTGCCAACCATGCCTTACTTTTCACTTAGGTAAACTTTGTAAATTTTTCTTTCTACTGATAGCTACTGGTCTTACACTGTATGCACTGAAGGAAATAATTTGGTGAAAATTTCAAAAGAACACAAACCATTACTAACAGCATTAAGTAAAGTAAAAAACAATAAAAATAAAATAAAAATTAAAAATAGAATGTTACTAATATCAGACACAGTTCAGCAAAAGTTTGTCTATTTTTGCTGCACCCATGTAGTGGTCAGGGCAGTGATATAATTACTACAGTGGCTGAGTTGTAACCAGTCCAATATATAGGTACCTTCAGCTAAAAAAACGGAAAACATTCCATAACATATAAGAAATTCAGTATACAGGTATTACAGTACAGTATTGCATTTGTTGCCACCAGCCAAGCCTCAAGAATTTTATTTGTGCAATAAATAGTTCAGACAAAAACACTTTTATTTTCTTCTATGACATTTCCCTCATAAACGACCTATAATATGCTGGGGGGTCCTGGGGGGCAGAGCCCCCAGATAGGAAGTTAGGTTGTTTGTGAAGGAAACGTCATAGAAGATAAATGTGTTAGGATTGTCTAAACTATTGATAGCAAAGATAAGATTACCGCAATTTGGTTGGTGGTAATAAATGAAATTTTATCAGAAAATCCATTTTAGGGTACAGTAGTAAATTCTAAGGTTTAGTTATTTTCTTATTTAACCTCACATTTCCATTTCTTCTCACCGCACACAAGGTTGTTTTTTTAAGATTGTGATGTAGATATCATTAACTCATTGTCTGCTTATGAATGAAAACACTAAAATCAATAATTCTTGATAATGCCATGCTAAAATTCACAATATTAAGGGCTTAACCCATTCACTTCAAATTTACCAATTGTGCTTAATACAGTGAGCAGGTTCCATGAAGAAGTGTTGCCCCAAAACCTGGGATACATCCAGTTCTTCATAACAAACTAACACCTTTCTTCATCTTCAATTCTTAAAACATATTAAATTAAAATAGCATATGCCACTTTTTCATCACAAATTAGTTTTCCTCTTGATATAATCACATTATAAGGAAATAAATCTGAACCTTTTTACCATTCCCATGACGTGAATATTTAAGAGTTTCAGTTCACCTTAGACTCAAATACTCAGCTTCCAGGCCTTAATATACATACCGCTCTCGTGTGTGTTCAAAATATATTCATAATTAAATATTATCATCTACAATTGGGCTACTTGTCGCCTAAAGGTACCGTAGAGAACCCAGGTAGGTTAAACAACACGACAGGGAAGGGGAATGTGCCAGCTACAGGGTCACAGTCCTCGGTCACCAGACAGCTGATCCTCGAGACAAAAGACCTACTCTCAGGCCTCTTTAAGCGATTTTCACAACTAAAAATCATTCTTTTGTATCACTGCTGTTGCCAATAACGGTAAAAAGAACACACACTAATCACTTAGACACTATGGTTCATTCCAAATCAAAAACAAAGAAGGAGAAATCACCAAACGCTTTTGTTTTGTCCCTTTCTTCTCTCGATAACAAACAAATCTTCTCGTTCCAGTATTATTTTGTCCCCTATCGATAGTCAACTCGCGAACTGAGGAATATTACTCAGTTTAATGAATAAATGGAAGAAGGAATAACCAATAGTAATTTTTAATGGTGGTTTTATTCAGGAGATTTATTGACAATGTTGATAATGAAATATGTAATAACAAAGGTCGCTAATCCTTAAATTTTACCTCCTAACAGGTGCCGTTACAGAAAAGTTGCATATTATGCAGAATTTAAATTGAAATTTTCATTTAATTTTAAGCGAATAAATAAACATTTAATTCTGTATTTCGAAAAAAATAAATTGAATCATCAGAAATGACAACTTACAAATAAATTGTCGCTAAAATGATTTTACAATATTGTTTGATCTCTGGTTGAGTTACCGCTCGTCTAAACAGTTCCAGCGTTCTTTCCTTCCCCGAGTCCTTCAGTGGTTGTGGTTCAGTGTGAGTATCGTAGAAATTCATCGGTAAATATTAGAGTGATCGTTTGTCATTTTTCTCATCTGTTGCCGGAGTTGAATTGCTTTATTATCAAACTTAAGTATGACATTTAATAATTCTCCTAATAGCAGTTGATGAACACAAGAAATATTTTCGATGAGCAGGTTCTCGTGTGAAATGTGGTGACGTGAGTGAACACAAGACAGCCTTGTGAGTATTACCCGCGGGTTATACTGTTGTTGCTCACAGTCATATTAACAACAAGGCTCCAGTGACTTTCTTGACCAGTCTTCGGTTATATCGACTTGTTTGGCTTGTACATATGTTAAGTTTATCTACATGCTGAACCTAAGTGAATGCGTATAACGGCAGTCTCATTAAATTTTTGTTAACGGTGTTCTTGAGTCTTGTGTTCCAGTTAATGATTTGTTTCTCGTATTTTAAGTAAATGCTTTAATACATAGGCCTGTAACAAGTGTGATGAGCTAAGCATAATAACAGGAAATGGTTAGTAGTTCTTCTCCGTAGCCTCATTGCTCCAGTGCATTAACATAAGAACATACGAAGAACATAAGAAAATAAGGAGTCTGCAATAGGCCAGTTGGCCTGTGCATGGCAGCTCCTGTCGAGAGTTACTACCACTCAAACATCCATGAATCTATCTAGCCTCCTTTTAAACTTTCCAGCTTTCCAGCACTTACTACAAAATTGCTAAGCTTGTTCCACTCGTCCACCACCCTATTTGTGAACCAGTTCCTCCCTATCTCCCTCCTAAACCTAAACTTGTCCAACTTAAATCCGTTGCTACGAGTCCTATCCTGCTCGGATATTATAAGAACTTTATCTATATCTCCTTTATTGATTCCTTTCACCCACTGAAATATCTCCCCGCGCTCTTCGTCTTTCTAGGGAATGCAAGTTTAGTTTATTTAACCTATCTTGATATGGAAGGTTTTTAAGTCCCGGAATCATTTTTGTCATTCTTCGCTGCACCGACTCTAGTGAATTGATATCCTTTCTATAATAAGGGCACCAGAACTGAACCGCATAGTCGAGGTGCGGCCTGACTAGCGCAAGATATAGTTGCAATAAGACCTCTGCACTCTTATTACTTACACTTCTAGATATAAAACCTAATACTCTGTTTGCCTTATTTTGAACTTTAATGCACTGTTTTCGAGGCCATAGGTCTGGGCTTACAAGTACCCCTAAGTCTCTTTCACAAGTCGACTTCTCTAGGGTGATGTTAAGGCTGTATACATTGACGCTGCACTTGCTGGTGTTGAATTTCATTTGCCATTTTTCTGACCATTACTGCAGTTTATTTAAATCCTCCTGTAGTGCATTTGCATCCTGCCCTGAATTAATCTGCCGCCCTATTTTGGTGTCATCCGCAAACTTGCTCATGTCACTGCTGATCCCAGTATCTAGATCGTTTATGTAGATTATGAACAAGAGTGGGCCCAGTACTGACCCCTGGGGAACCCCACTGGTTACACAACCCCACTCAGATTTAACACCATCTACGCTGACCCACTGTGTTCTATCGGTGAGCCATGATTTTACCCAATTCAAAACTTTCCCCTCGATACCATGAGCCTTAACTTTTCTCAGAAGCCTCTGATGCGGCACTCTGTCAAACGCTTTGCTAAGTCTAAGTAAATAACATTGTAATTTTCGTCATTATCTACTACCTCGAAGACCCCTCCCCCCTTCGTACCTTCCCTGTCCTTGTGAAATAGGTTGTACCCTTCTATGTGGTACTCTGATAAAAGTTTTTGCTCGCCAGATTCATCCAAGTTTCGGTGATTGCTATTTTATTCAGCTGAGGGATACACTCACTACAGTATTTAGTTTTAGCTCCTCAAGGTAAGGCTGGAGCAGCAAATGGGCTGCGGGCCACATGCAAGAGTGTGTTGGGCTGCATGACACCCCTGGGGTAGGGCTTTGAAGTAGAGTGAAAATGTGGGGGTAAGAACACAATGAAAGCAGGATGCCGGCACTGACAAGCATCATGAATGTGACCATGCTATCAAGCGTGGTCACACAGTTGAAGCCTGTCGGCATTGGTTGCCCGAGCTGATAAGTTTACCGGAATGAACAAAACATTTTCTCACTTGCCTGCGTGGGTGGATATGGTGTTGTGGCGGTGTTAGTTGTGCGAGGTGTTTTATTGATAATTTTGTCATGGTGGAAGTAGAGGTTTTGATAGGCTGTGTAGTCAAAAGTTACCCAAGTCATTCTCATTGAAAAAACCTCGAGTCCCTTTTTAGCTCACTAAAAAAATGGTGATATTCACCGCAATTTTTTCTACTGTATTCCAGTTCTTTTCCTCTTGATTTTTGCATAAGCACTATCGAGCAAATGAAAAACTTCGTCAGACGACGTGCTAGACATCTTTACTATACGACAGCTGGATTATAACTCGCAGATAAACCTGATTCTCTGCTGGTGCTGGAAATCTTACCAGCAAGTGGGTAACCTGTGGCTAACCTGCTTTCTTTGTGTTCTTACCCTAATAGAACCTGACTTAACCAGCCAAAGAAACCTACCTAACTTCCAAGCCCCCTGGACTCCCGCCATATTAAGCGAAGTACAATACTTATTTTGATATCTGGTACCAATGAAAGCAACTTTCTTGAAGCAGCATGGTGTAATTTTACGTTTTTGTGGATGTGAAAGTACGCATGAACCAAGCAGTTCTGCTGTAAACAAAGCAGATGACACGCCGAGAGTGGCAGATTGCGCTTTGTAATGTTTATCGTAAGTAATTAATTTCTTCGCATGCAAGGTACTTAGACATATTTTTAATGTCGTGATCAGTTTTCACTATTTTACCCCGCAATTTCCCTCATCCTTCATACCCTGCACACTACAGGCGATTTATGAGCGTAGATAGAAAAAAAATTACTTAAAATTAAAATAAAAAGTTGGCGTATTGTTATTACATGCTGTCATCCAAAGAACGTCTGTGGAAAAATTTACGATGTCGAACAACTACTTCTGGTGACAGCCGTCTGCTCCAGTATCACCAATGATAATTTCAGACAAAAACAAAACTATATACCAGTAATTCTGTGACACTTTCAGTGCATTTTACCCATAACTGAGCTATTGTGGGTTGAAAATCAGAAAACTAAGAAAATTCTAAGTGCTGGTAAGAAATTGCAGGGTTATTTATTTACTTTTGTAATTGCTGGTATAATTCCAGACGAAAATGAGACAAATTTCTACTGACATTTCTCGCATTTTACCCATAACTGATATACTGTACAGCAAGTTGAAAATCAACACTACTGGAAAAGATATTGCATTTGTTGGCACCAACTGAATTTCAAGAATTTTGTCTGCAATAAATAGCTTAGTTAATTCTAAGACATTTTTCTTCTACGGTGTTCCCACACAAACCACTTAGAACCGCAATAGAAAGAAAACTTTATATAATTAAAACATATTAATCATATTACATCATTGTTTGATTGTTTGTACTTGTAATCTTGTTAAATGATCTAGTGCAGTATATAATGGATATGAAAAGTATATTTTATAGAAATGGCTTTTTATTACAGGTGTATTACAATACAGTATTATATATATATATATATATAACCACTGAGGATAATAGTATGGATGAATCTCATTGCCTTGTTTATCGCAGTGGCTGAGAAATTACGCTTGTCAAGTCTCGCTTGACATAAGATTACATTAAGTTTCTCGACAATCTTTCACTTCTCAGTCATCGCAAGAGACAGAGGTGAGGTTTGTGCAAATGAAAAATAGTGTTTTAAAATAGTGGCTGTTAATAAGTCATTATTAATTGTGGCATGAACCAACTAAACCTAAACTGATTACTTTTAAATTAGGTTGGTTAGGTAGGGTTTGGTTGTGCACTTAAAAATGACACACTAGTTGTGTCAGAAATCAGGTAGATGAATGAAATAGATGTTTGAAATTTTTTTGTAAATTATCTTAGTTATGTCACCTTTATTTAACCCTGACTTCTCTTCATACACCTTGATCATATTGTCCCTTGCTGTACAGTATCTGAAAAACGTTGTCTGCCAGAATGGGTCCAATTTTTTACGAATTGCTACATGCTACTCGTAGTGTTCTGTGAGGGTTGGTATGACTGGCTCTTGACATACTGTACTGGTCCAATTACATTTGGTGACCAAATATCATATTAATTATGCCAAAAAAATACACATAACATAACTTATGTTAAATTATATAATGTACCAAAGTAAATGCATGTCACAATATCTGTCATCCATGGTCTCATAAATAATTTTTCACAGAGTGTAGACAGATGCTTTTTTGAGATATTATACATTTCTCAAGATAATGCATCTCACTTTTCTTAATCTATGACAATACTCAAGGTTCTTAATTTCCATAATTATCTTTATCATCATCTATTGTTTAATTGCTGTATAGTTTGTCTGGGATTTTTATGTGCTGATTCGGTCCATTTCCAGATTTATAATCTTTAGGTCACATTTCTCTAGTACAATAAGGTCTTTCTTAAAAAGCATCTGCAATTTCGTATGTGTATAGTGTACCTCTTGAAGGTAAAATAATTTACATAGCTGTTTTTACTTTTATCAGATTTTTTGGTAGTCTTTTGACTGCTTTGATAGAAAGAAATATTAGTTCTCAATTTCTGGAAACCTGTTTATGTTGAACTAATTTGTAACTTTATAACTACCCCCTGTACTTAGTACACTGATATTTTCTAATTCATCAAATTGTTTTGCAGATAAACCATGGCACCCCGTAAGGGAAAAGTTCAAAAAGAGGAGGTGCAGGTCCAACTTGGCCCACAAGTACTTGATGGTGAGAAAGTGTTTGCTGTTTGCCACATCTATGCCAGCTACAATGACACATTCGTACATGTGACAGATCTGTCTGGACGTGAGACCATTGTCCGTATCACTGGAGGGCAGAAAGTAAAGGCAGATCGTGATGAGTCATCTCCATATGCTGCTATGTTGGCAGCTCAGGTATTTATCAAGAGTTTTCCCAGTTTTCCCAATATTGAAGCAGTAGTAGTACTGTAGTAGTCTTAGAGTAATCCCTCACCAACCTGAGGCTAATGTTATTAAATTATCCTGTAGTTGGCAAGGGTTGTGTGTGTAATGGGAAATAAAGGGTTAAGAGAAGTGACCCCTGAAAGACATACAGTCGAAGATTGTTAATTGGAAAAGTTAAAAAAATTATAACATCTAATCAACAAAACAAAATTGATATGGCAAAAATAAAAGTCGCTCACTTCTCCCAAGTGCCACTTTGATTCTGGAAGACTCTAACACATCCTGCAGCACTACCAACATTTAGCAACATTGATCTCATGCAATTGCATCTAATACAGCCCTTGCAGTGCTCTCCTGTACAGTATTTTGAAAATTGTGTAGGAGAGGATGATAAAGGAAATTGCCATATACAGTAATGTACTGGTGTATAAGTCCCATCTTTCACCTTAAAATTTTCTGCGCAGAACTCAGATTTGGGCCAATACTGTACAGTACTGGCCTAAGACATCTACAGTACACCCAGAAATTCGTAATGGTAACACTTTTACTCCGTATTACCATCTTTTCAAAAGACAGCTCAGGTCCCAACTTTCGAATAAACAGTCTTTTGCAATACCTCATTTAGATTTATTTAATTATTTTTCCCTAATTATTGTTGCTTAAAAGTTGGGCTGCTGTAGGGACATTGCAGATTCAATGAGTGAGTGGGTGTGGGAGAGCTGTTTGAATGTAGGTGCAGTTTGATGGTGGGGGCAAGGGTAGGCATGGGCCACCCCTTTCAGCCAACAGGGGAATCCTGCAGTGTTTGCAAGTGGAGACCATGGGATGAGGTTAGTGCTGCATCGGGTACAGACAATTCTTCCTCGGGGTTTCTTCTCACTTGGGATCTCCTTGGTTGTTGGCTTGGGCTGAGGGAGAGTAGTCGTTCCCTTGTCTGGCCTCCACCATCTGCTGTGCTTTGGAGTCCAGACTTCCTGGAGCACTCTTAGTTCACCCAACTGTAAATGGGTATTTAACTATACAAGTTGGGTAAGTGAAGGTATCCGAATCCAGAGCCTCCTTATTATTTATATTTCGGGGAATATAGGAATTATGTCTGTATGCCTATACAGTACAGGGAACATAATGGATTTGCACTTTTCAGTAAATTTTAGTCTTCCCATGTTTGTAAGTAGGATTTTGCAAAAGTATACAGTATAGAGCATTGAAATTGTGTAGCTTTCTTTGTGTATAATTACTTATTGATTTAGATATCAAGTTGTTGATTTTTTTTCTTATTTGGTCATTGATGAGGATCTTATGCTTTTTGTATACACAAGTTCAGTAATTCCTTTGTTACAACCATGAATTGGGGTGGGTTTTTTTTCTGTGTTTTCATTAGCATATGTACTATTGCCCCACTAAAATTTTTGATGGTTGATCGTATCACTCAGTTGTGTCCCTTGGAGTTAGAAAAAAATTGGGTATTGCATTGTTGATGGGGAGGGGGTTGCTACTGTCAATCTGACTGTTCTTTGCATTCATAGCTGTCAAATGCCATTTATCTCAACTTACTGGGATGTGAAACATTAAGAAATTGAATCTCATGGAACCGTATTATTTACAGGATGTTGCAGAAAAATGTAAGACCTTAGGCATCAATTGCTTGCACATCAAGATTCGTGCCACAGGTGGTAACAAAACAAAGACTCCAGGACCTGGTGGCCAGTCTGCACTGCGAGCTCTGGCCCGTGCTGGCATGAAGATTGGACGTATTGAAGTAAGTTTGTTGTCATTGATAGAAAATTTTGTAATGGTGGGAAGAAAGAGTTTGTCAATAATCATACAACAGTTTTAATGCATGTACAGTGACCCCTCGTTTAACGAACGCCTTGGTTAACGAAATTTCGGTTAACGAACTGCCTTCCATAAGGATCTTCAATTCGGTTAACGAACAAAAATTCGGTTAACGAATTTCTTACGAACCGACCTCAACATGTTTTCGCTTGCACTGACCGGGCAACCAGCTTTAGTATCAGTCCGCCAATACATTAATCGGTTCTAGGGCTTAAATTCCTCACTATTTTAGTAAATATCAAGAAGTTTATACTATTCAATAATTTTAAAAGTTTAATATTCAATTTTTTAGTCATTTTAACAATTATTGAACATAATTGAAGGTAAAGTGACTAGTTTAATGCGCGGCATCCAACCTCTTAATACAGCAAACGGGTTAGTCTCTCTCTGTTTTCACTGGAGGTAACATCTTGCTTGAGACCCTCTTCAACTAAATGCTTTTTTTTCTGTTTCCAAGCAAATTATTGGTCATTTTGAAATATATTTTACATATTGACAATATATAATGCAGTGCAGTGTTGATTTAAAGAAAATAATCTTGAATTACACCAAGAGAGCTAAAATTTTATGGGTGAAATGGCACCATGGCGTGACTTCTCTTCCACCCCAATGCCTTCTCTTCTTCCTTCTCCTCCACCCCCATTCTAAATCCCATCATCATCATCATCCAGGGGCCTTCTACATACACACCTCAAAGTAAGTGAACTTTTCCACCATTTTTGTTGAATTTAGGAAATTTTCGATGAGCTGGAACCAATTACCCAAAAACCCATTGAAACAATGGTTTCGGTTAACGAACGACCTTCTGGAACGGATTGAGTTCGTTAACCGAGGGGTCACTGTATAGTAAAAAAAAATCGGCATCTAATAAATTGAATTTGCGATAAGTCAGTACGGACATTATATAACAGTTACATTTTGGATATAGTTCTGAATAGTCACTAGGAGCTGAGTCATGAGCAAGATTTCAACAAGCTGGCCCACACTGAGCTTCAGTTGGCAAATATATATACACACACACACATACAGTGGTCCCTCGGTTAACGAGCACAATTCGTTCCAGAAGGTTGCTCGTTAACCGAAACCATTGTTTCAATGGGTTTTTGGGCAATTGGTTCCAGCTCACCGAAAATTACATAAAAGTAAAAATAAATGCAGTAAAGTACACTTACTTTGAGGTGTGCATGTAGAAGGCTCCTGGTTGATGATGATGATGGGAATTAGAATGGAGGTGGAGGAGAAGGCAGTGGGGGTGGAAGAAAAGTCACCCCATGCTGCCATTTCACCCATAAAATTTTAGTTCACTTGGCATAATTCAAGATTATTTTCTTTAAATCAAAACTGCACTGCATATTATCAATATGTAAAATATATTTCAAAATGACCAATAATTTGACTGGCAACAGAATAAAAGCATTTATGTTGAAGTCTCAAACGAGATCTTCCTTCCTCTGAACTGGTAAACAAACCGACTCCAAGCTTGGTGTGTTGAGTGGCTGTTTGGCACGCAAAAAAATAGTTTTCTGTTCTTCAATTATGTTCAATAATTGTTAAAATGACTAAAAAATTTAATGTAAAAATTTTAAAATTATTGAATTGTACAACCTTCTTGATATTTACTAAAATGGTAAGGAATTTAAGCCCTAAAACCGATTACTGTATTGGTGGACTAATACTACAGCTGGTGGGCAGCCAGATACAGGCAAAAACATGTTGGGAAACGAGGGTTTGCTCGTTAACCGAAGTGAAGGATTTTATGGAAGGTAATTCGTTAACCGAGGGATCACTGTATTTCTATATATATATATATATATATATATATATATATATATATATATATATATATATATATATATATATATATATATATATATATATATATATATATATATATATATATATATATATATATACACTAATTGCCTTCAGCACCATATGTGCTGAGGTCCTTGGTACAGGTGTTAACCTGTAATGCTTTTTCCACAACTTATTGTTTCATTACATGTAACTATAAACGAGGCGGTTGGGCTGGCAAGTTGGAGACAGTTACAGCCCATCGCCTCCACGCATGTTCACTTCCCACACATACACAGCCGTGCATTTTATTTTTGTAATGTTTGCTATTTTTTAAATATTATATTTTTTTCTTTCAGGATGTCACTCCAGTGCCCTCTGACAGCACCCGTAGGAAGGGAGGTCGTCGTGGCAGGCGTCTGTAATTTGAGGGCTGTAATAAATTTCATCGTTTATAATTATTTTCTTAACCTACCTAATTAGTACATACTAACTAACTTAATGCTAAAATATTTTCTCATATGCAATTAGACTTAACCACATGTAAATACTTTCAAGATGTCTAATTAAGTTCTCTTCAGATGGTAAAGTTGTTTGGATGTTATTTTGATATGGTGAACCTGTAATTATTTTATGTGAATGTATGGTTCTCCTTTACACAGTAGATATGCAAAACCAAAGTACCTGTACACCCTGACCCTGCAAATCGTGCATTTTTATGACTGTTACCCAATTACCGTGTATATTGCTAGTCCGTGTTCATTTAAGAAAAATAAATTACAGTATTTAGTACCGTATATTATGGCAGATTGGGCGACCTTCGGATGAGATGAGGCCCAAATTTCAGTCTAAATTTCATGGGTTTTAAGCTCATATCTGGTATATGACAATTCCCCAAACTACCTGTGGTAAACTTAAGGTCAATAACCACTAATACGGTGATATGTTTCATGCATTAAATACTTTGAATGTTTAATGTATTACCAGTAAATCATTTGAATTATGTTATCGGAGAGGCATGTAATAAGATACTAAATGCCATGTCTATCTTCGGTTGTGGTATGTTAGGTCGATGACCATATTGTTTACATACCTACATGTCGTGATGCATCGTTTGAAGCTAGTGGAATTGATGGATTTTAAATGTATAAGATTTATTTATTTTATTATTTTTACAATGCTTTCATTGGTTTAATATCATATCAGTTTATGGATTTTAGTGCCAAAAATTGTAAACACTCCAATAGCTGTTTCAAGATTGACAACCACATCTACCTTTGCAGGACCCAAATTATTATTCATCACTCCTTGAGTGATGAATATTATTTCTGGTGCCCTAGTTATTCTGTGGTGCAATGTATAGCACCTTATAGCCAAAATATTGGGTGATACAGCACCCTCCTTTCCCACATCCATATACTGGGTGGAGTGAGAGGGGGAGGATGGTGCGGCACGAGAGAACTGACTAACCATGGGAGATGCACATCTGCCAATGGTTAGTAAAAATATTTTTAACAACTTCACGGACAGCTGAATAAAGAGCACTAATAATTTTTTGTGAACAAGTGAATTTGTAAATACTGTACATGTATGGAGTTCACAAATACAGTGGGATAAGTGTAATTGTAAGTATGAAATAACAAAGATTTTTGTTGCACTATTAGATTTAGCTTTTTTTCTGAATTTTCATAAATTTTTAATGCCTATTCTGCTAATTTGTGACTTGAGGAAATTCTGCTACAGTAGGATACCAATTAGCACGAATTTGTGAGGTGAGGGTGTAAGTACAAATGTAATATCAATCAATCAATCAATCAGAGTACCCTTTTTATATATGTGGGTTGGAGACCACAGTCCTCCACTAAACATTCTCGGGCTGTTTTTATCAATCCTCTAAGGTTTTGTATCTTGGGGGTCCCATGTTTTTAATTCTGCTTCCTTCTGATATTAGCAGTTAACAGTCTAGTGTGGAAATGCTTTATTACCTCTGCTTCCTTTTTACTATATACAGTATATTGGGTGTATTAGGCACTAATGATCAGTAAATTTCTGGAATTGTATTTTTATGGCTGCCTTGTCATGGCAGTGATGATACAGGTACCATGTATTTTCACAACATGGGATGAATCCAGAAAAGAATGTTTTATTTCCAAGAAAGAAAGATGGTAATTTTTTCTTTTTAATTTTGATGAAAATTCTGTACTGTAGCTGATGTTTTTTCCTACAATATCATAAAAATGTTGCTTTACCTGTTTTTTTTTTTATAAAGTGATCTTATATGCTAGATTTTCTAGACAATTTGGGTAAATTTTTTACATAAGAAGGAAGAAACTGCAGCGAGCCTATTGGCCCATACTAAGCTAATCTATACTGTATATGAAGCTTCCCAGTGCGTTCGATTTAATGATAATGGTTGGTAATTTGTTCCACTTGTCCACAACTCTTTCATGCCTAAATCAAAATTGTCTACCAAAAAGCCATTACTATGCATTTCCTCCTAGTCAGGTAGTTAAATTGCCTTTAACCCTGACTTCCATTTATATACTGTACATTGAGCATATTACCTCGCTCCGTCGGTACATGCACGCGATCTATTAACTCAGATTAAATTAAGTTTTCCAATTTTTTGTGACTTTGACACCAAATACTAGTCGAGAAGTGATTAGCAGTCCTATTTATTCATCTAGGACCATTATTTGACTTCATTCCGGCTACATTTGGGTAATTAGTCGGACCGGGTTTTTGGTACAGTAGTGACTTGGATAAAGGCCTGCTGTTACAAACACACCCTTAATAAAAAGTATTTTACTAGGCGGATAAACCACATGCCAGGTATACAGCCATCTCTCACTTGCTATCTATTCAAGGTGGATGATGGATCACCAGTATGTGCCAGGGAATATAAGACTTTTACACAAAAATAAACTGATTATGCTGGGTTGTAAAATATCACCAATGTACAACACTGAATTACATTGTAGCAAGTAACACCGAGCTAACCTAGATATGATAAAGCACCAAGGTACAGCGTTGAATTACAATGTAGCAAGTAACACCGAGCTTGACCATAACTAAAAAAAAAACACGTGCTCAGTTTTCACATGAATAGCTTTAATGTGCTTCTACAGTGCAGTTACTGTTGGAGTGACTTTGTCTAAGTATTGAACAAAGGTAATTCGTATGGTGAAAAGAGGGGAAAATGTAACAAAGATAAAAAATGGAAAAAGAATCTTTTTTTATAATTATGCTTTTTTGAGTCAAAACTGATCTTTGACTGTTTACACTAAAAGGTGAGACATTGTTGAAAGGATTAGTGTATTCATCATTCCCATAAGCCATAAGGGAATGATGAAAATAAAAATTTCAACCCGAATAAAAACAACTAAAAGGATCGGAAATCTAATACTGTGTCCACAGTAGTACTGTACTAGGATTGTAATAACTGAAATGAAATGGTTGAATTATGTCCACCTGAAAAGGCATGTTAGTGAAACTTGTGATAGTAGACGTGAATAACATTACAATACTATCCAAGACGAAGACCCTGGGCAACCTTACATTTGATATTAAAAAGCTATTAATGGGTCAACAGTTTGGGTACTACATGAGTGTGAAGACCAACTGTGTCTTCATATTCCTGAATGTTAACCTACATAGTGTAATGAGTGAAATCAAGGAGTCTATACTCTTAAGTGGATGGCTCACTCATTCACTCCGGATTGTGGTGCTGCCAAGTACTATATCAACACAGGTTGATAGGCAAAGATTAAAGGGAGACTCAAATTTTGTTGAATGAATTGTTTTTATTGTTTTGTGCACAATATTTTACCATATACAATGGGATACAATTATTGTGCAGCAATAAATTGTTCCAAAACACCAAAAGGAAAATAAAGCTGTCCCCAAATTTTCAAAGGATCTAGAGAGTTGAGTTGTAAACCTACTTCTCTCAATGTTTTGATGTTCATTAGTTTTTATGAGCTCTTTGTATATTTAATGCATTCAGTATTGACAATGAACCGCCCTTCAAATTGCTAGTGAAAATAGGATATTATTCTGTGGTCAAAATGTAAGGCCTGAACTTTTCATTTTTGGGTCATTCGTTTTTGGGCCGCCCTTTACTTTTTGGACGAAATTATGTTTTATGTTTTTCCTGTATATTTCAATGAGTTTTGAGTGAATTTCACATTAGTTACTTGGGTAAATTTACTAAAATGAAGATAAAACTCATCCCTTATGAGTCAACTTGAACCCATGAAATGAGTGTAAAATTCACGACATCTTCACCAACCCAACCTAACACAACCTAGAAGCTGATTTCACTAATTTTTTCTTACTTTAAATGATTGAAGATTGAAGAAAAATCCCATGTGGCTAGTGGCATGCAAAAGCATCTCAAGGTGAAAGATGTCCAGTTTAGGGACCCTAGGCACATGAACCTGTATTGTACTCCCACGACCTATATACACCATATACAGTACCTGCATTGTCTATATTCATGCTGAACTGTATACCTGCAGTTGATATACATGCCTGGCTAATTGTAAACCTGTATGGCAATTTTACTGAATAAACTTTGTTATTACTACTATTAGTCAAACTTGGAATACTGTAGCTTGATCATAAAACCTATGATCTTTCTTAAGTTTCCAACAATCCATTGGTAGGAGTTGTGTAGTTTTGAAGCTATACTGTTATTAACTCGTAAAATCAGTAGTTATTTATTTAACTACTAAAATAATAGTCAATTCAGAAAAAATAGAATAACTACAACAAAGTATATTGGTGTAAAACTGTAGCTATCATCATCGCTCTTACTGAAGAACTAGTGTTATCACACATCAAGCGAGACAATGGATAAAGAATTTAAGACTGAGTGAGTCATCCTTCAAGAGAACGAAAAAAAAGAAGAAATAGATCTCTTGGTGAAAGGTATGTTCCTTTCCGATTCCCTCGCAATTTCATCATCCTTTTTAAAACCTTGTCGCTGCCTGATTTGATTAGTGAATGACTATTTTTAGATTCGGAGAGAAGCAATGACTATTAAGGATTAAGAATGTATCAGTGTTGTTATATGCTAATTAATGGGACCATAATTTTTAGTTTGTTCTTTCGTGAACGAGATCTTTAACGACGTCAGCTCCGGGGAGATTAGAACTCCTTGGTCAGCAAGTGTTCTGCGTTTTTATTGCACTCCATTCGCGAGTCTTTAGAGATTTATAGGTAATCGGTTTTAGACAAATAGCAGTAGTGATTTTCAGGTGTCAGACACAGAAAGTTCGAGTGATGACACAGTAATAAGTGATAATGAAGGAAGTGATACCGTCTTGTTTACCCCCAGAGGATATGGAAAAAGGTTCTACAGGAAATTTAAGTTCACGCCACGTCGTGTGGGACTTAAGAATATCAGTAAGTACCTTGTTTTAGTGTGCACCCTATTGCCATTAAGGTAGTGAAGAAACAAATAGCTATGCAGGTTGCAAACTTGTGAGATTTTACGAAAAATGTTGGCTACAATCTTAACACGTCTTCAGGGCGAAAAATCACCTAAATGAAGAGGAAATTGGACGACTACATACAGATTATCAACACATTTACTACGTAGTCAACATACACGTATAAACGTGAGTACAATAATGTAAAAATAAATTTATGTACTGTAGTAACAAATTGGCACCATAATTTCGCGCACACACACTGCAATTATTTTCCACTTGCAATGTATTATTTGTTACAATGATATATTTATTTTTGTTCGTCCATGTCTTATAATATTTATGAATGCCAATTTTCATAATTTATTTTGTAATTATGAAACATGGATCTTTTAAATTTTTAGTTCAAGTTTCTCGAGTTTTAATAACGAATGAAGTGGGTTTTTTTAATAATTTCATTCGGTGGCCGGGTGACGTATGCCGAGAGCTAGTATATATTCACACTGACATTTGATTTGTTCATCCATATGTTTTTAGAATATTACGATATTTTGGCTGTGCGGTCATTATGTATATGTTCATATTATCACAAAAATCCCACCATAATGCATCAACTTTATGAGATATAAAAAAAAAGTTCGATAGTATTAGTTTTAAGAGGTAATTTATGTAATATACAAATAAAAGCGATTCAAATGGTAATGATAATATTGTACATGATTCCAATATGAAAACAAAAATATTGAGCCCATGTTATCTTTAAAGTCGTCTAACTTTAGTTTATTTCCGCTATTCATCGTGTTTGTTGTTGTTTAAGCACTGGACATTTCATTGTGTGTTTGTGTTTGTACACCCAACAGAAAATAAATGAAATACATGGTTTGTATATAATAAGATATTGAATCGTATAACGAAAAATACAATGTACAATACAGTATAATATAATAAAAAGACATCGTACAGGTGGTGAGAGACAGTTAGATCCACAGACCTCAAACAGTTCCCGCCCCTTCTGTACACTCGGGAACAGAAGTCCTGTCGCCCCTTCTGCTGCTCCACGAACCCTGAGATTCAGACTCATGAATCCGAAGCATTTATGGGCAGAATAACGCACCAGTGTCTACTGCTTCGGGTTCATGAGTCTGAATCTCTTGGTTCGCAGAACAGCACAAGGGGCGACAGGACTTCTGTTCCCGACTGTACATGGCCAGACGAAGAGTTGTTTTTCTATCGCAATAACAAAAGTTTTCAGTGTTCTGGAAATATGTAAAGACAAAAAAAGAGGTGTGAGGTGACCATAATGCCAAGTTTATGTATGAACAAAAATAGAGTAAATTTGTATTTTCAACCAGTAAGGTTCTCGAGGTGAGCAGTGTTTTGCAGATTTTGTTTTGTTTTGTTTGATTTTGCTATTGATTTTATGTCTGAAATCATTCGTTTTTAAGAGAGCCCCACCCCATAAGACCCATCAAAAACCACCGGAAAAACACATTGCTCGACTCAAAACCCAACCAAACCTCACCTAACCTAACTTAACCTCCAGAAATAAATTATGGAATTGAACCAATATTTCTGGAGATACTATTTGCATGATACTGAAGACGAAAATTTTTGCATTTTAAACCAATATACAGCCGAAGGTTTTTGACTTAAAGAATGAATAGACCACGTCGAGAACTTTCTTCTGAACCCTACCTTTACCTGTCGCAATTAAATAATAAGCGAGATATGGGGTGTCCTTCGGCTGCATATTGGTTGAAATGCAACAATATAAAAAATAGCATGAGCAGCATGAATCTGAAAAAGAAAACATTGGATACTGTACTGTATGAATGAAGGAAAGCATAGTGAAGAGTATGCGGTTTGTGCACAGCCGCTTAATTCATAACAGCGGGGTCACAAGGTCTTCACAACTCCCCCTCCACATCACTGTTCATTTGTATAGCGTAAATAGAAGTGTCCATTATTGGTAACCCATAGGAGCATTTCACCCTTTTTAGCTCCTCACCAGTTATGAATATCCAGCACAGGTCCCTCCCCCTGTATTCACATGGCTCTAAACCACTGTGGATTCAGAAACACTTCACCACAACACTAACATCCTCACATTTCACACGTACAGTTGCCGCCACATGAACGTACCACAGCCTGGGCATGTGTGAAGGCTCGGGTACGAGACGTGGCACCACAGCACCGTAGTCATGGACGTGAAACCATGGATTACCTTGTTTACCGGCTACACAACAAAGCTACATAACACGTATCACAGGGTTCGTTTATCTTGTTACCTCCTTTATTGTTTGTATCTTATCACAAACAGGGTAATTTCACCGTTTCACTCCCATGCATTCGGCCCTGACAACGGCCCTGCACTGGCACATCTCGTACCCCAAGCTGAAGACCCGGGTATCGGGTACTCGAGCCGTGATACATTCATCTTGGGCACCTGTACAGTACGTGGAATAGTCTGATTATGTGTTGCTAGCGTTAGATATCGCTCTTCCAGGGGATGAACACTTCAACTATGGATTGCAATGAAGATTGATAAATCGATGGTTTTTGATGCCAGTCAGATTACAGTAGATCCTGGCGATCATTTTACTTTAGAAAATAATCTGCGCCCCTCTAGCACATAACATCGTCTACCATGAGTAGTCACGCACTGTCGCCTTTTAATTATTCGACGGCTTCTATTCCTGGCAGAAATAATTCGTCGATAATATCTTTAGGGTCGGGCGGGGAGAAGTGTGCCGGAACACTGCGGATCCAGAGAGCTGTAGGGGTGTTCTGGCAGCCAAGGTAGCGGTGATGAAGCTCCCGCCAGGTGTAGGGCGGTGTCACGTCACAAGGAGCGCCAAAGATGGTCCGCCTTAGTTCCCCGCCAGAGCCGTCGTAGGAGGTGGGCGTGGACAGCCTCACCGCACTGAGCGACGCCTGGGCAGGACACAACCACCAGAATTAATTAAACATGATTAAGTCGTCCTCAAGTGTACCTACAATTTATATATTTATTATATTATGGCGTTTTATCAAGATAAGTTTATGGCAGAGAGGAACATTAATCATGTTCGACAATAACGCCCGTATTATTAAACAACATCTTCCCTTGAAGAGGGTCCTCGTGTTTCAACCCGAGTTTTAAACTAAATGAGTCCTGGGGAACACCGCAGTACAGTACCCCCGGCAATTGATACAAGGAAAAGCAAAAGTTATACCCATACCCAGTGATATGAAAAGTTGATTGATATATATATATATATATATATATATATATATATATATATATATATATATATATATATATATATATATATATATATATATATATATCACCCTCGAACTGTATTTGAAACGCGTAGAGAAGGGCAAACCGAGTACGCTGTTTAGGCTATTTTGTGTGTGTGTGTGTGTGTGTGTGTGTGTGTGTGTGTGTGTGTGTGATGGTGATGTGTGTGACAGTATGTAAGATGTGTGTGTGTATGTGTGTATGTATATGTGTGCGTATGATGGTATTGTCTGTACATAAGATGGTGATGTGTATGTATGATGATTATGTATGTGTGTATGTATGGTGGTGATGTACTGTGTGTACATATGGTGGTGATATGTGTGTGTGTGTGTGTGTGTGTGAGAGCGAATCAGAAAGGCGCTTGTAGCGTTACCTGGTGAACTTGCGCGGTGCAGGCGTGAGTGTGGGCGTAGTGGGTCCAGTGGGTGGAAAAATCTCTGCCCCAGGAGTACTCGTCGCTGCCACCCACCGCGAATACCTTGGGAGAGTCAATCACACCGTCAACCCATCCATTGCCTTCTATCCTGTTCTGGCATGCACATATTGGTCCTCTGTACAAAATATGTGATAATAATCTAAGCACAGTATCTATTATTTACTCGTGTATTAGTTACCCTTGGTTGACAGATCGTTGGAGTCTTAATGAAAATGCAAGTAAGAATGCGTTTTATATATACCTGGTTAGTAGGCTACATGTTATTTTTACACACACACACACACACACGAATGTTAATTTATTTATTAGTTATTTTCACATGTAAAAATAAAGCGATATTTCAAAGATCAATATTTTTTTTAAGTATTTTGAAACTTTAATTGGATATTTATTCCAGGAGTCACGCTATAGGCCAATAACGCACTTGAAAATTCTTGTTTAGTATTTTTTACAATGAACGTTTTAGACATATATATTAAAATATGAAAATAAAGTTAAGTAAATTACATAAATATACTGTAAACGTTCTTGTATAAGGTCTATTAAATGTTGTGATGCTTGAAGGTGAAGATATGAACACACTGACTTTTTCTATTCTTTCAAAGGTATTTTTCATAAGCATCTACAGGGGCGGATCCAGGGGGGTCCTTGGGGGTCAGGCTCCCCCTTTTCATCAGAAAATTCCAATACTTTTCTTTAATGCAGTATTGTACTCAGACGTTTTCGTAAATTAAAAAGTAATTACTATTGACATCAGACTATCTTCTAGTATTAAGTGCACATAGCTTAAGGCCTCACAATGCCCATGATATTGGTGGGGGGGGGGCTTATAGCGCCCCCCCCCCCCATAACCTCCCAGCTGGGTGGGCTCGCTGCGCTCGCCATGACCTCCCACCCACAACTTCTTGAACCCCTCTTTTGATATTTCTTGATCCGCTCCTATTCTGGTATAGTTTAATTTGATAAGCTGCACAAAGATGTAGTTAAACTGTAGCTTTATACGTCATTGGTAGGTTAGATTAGGTTAAGTGAAGATGTGTGGTCAGCTGGGAGAGAGAGCCAACGTACCTGGACATTTCTGTGTTTCTTGGACTTGGCGAAGGCGTTGACGATCTCCCCAGCGTAGGAGGTGTCGATCAGGAGAGTGACCTGCCGCGCCGCACACTCCTGCACGTCCCTCAGTAATTCCCGCGGGCTGTACACTTCCCCGCCTCGCGCCTGTACAAGTACACACCACACCACTTACTAGTACACTTATACACACCACCAGACCACTTACTGCTACACTTACACACATCACACACTACTTCTACTTTATCTGAACGAACGACCACGTGTTTGTGGTTACAGCTTGACAGACAGACACATGGATAAACAGATGGATGCGTGACTAACCAGGCCATTGCGGTCCTCGTCCCAAAGGAGGATGGTGCCATCATTGAGAGAGGGTCCAGCGAGGTAGAGGAGAAGGGAGTCGGTACAGAGAGGCGTGGCACACAGGGCTCTGAGGTGATAGCGCAGCCCCAGCTTGAGGGAGGACGGGTATACGGCGTGCTGCAGAACTGGCCCTGAGGAAGTGAGTAGAGGTGGTGGTGGTGGTAGTGGCTGGTGGTGGTGATGGTTGGTGGTAGTGGTGGTGGTTGGTAGTGATGATGGTGGTGGTCATTGGTTAATAAGGCTGGCACATCGATTACTCTTGGGAGTTAGCGCTAAAAAACTTAACCTAACGTAAATTTAATGGTTTTAGGTTTGATTGAGAGCTTTTAGGATGGAGGGAGGGGGAGTCATTTAAGTTGCTACCGCATTGACAGACTTGGTGTTTGTGTACTGTAGATGGTAGATTGAGTGTTTGTGTATATGGTAGATTGAGTGTTTGTGTAGATGACATACTGGGTGACTGTGAAGGGGGCTGACACACACACACACACACACACACACACACACACACATACACACACACACACACACACACACTCTGCACATTACTACCTTCCACAACTTTTAGCAATGCGTCGGTGAGGGTGGTGGTGGGAGGAGGAAGGGGGGGGGGAGTGTCACGGTGGGCGTGAGGGAGGCGGAGTAATGACAGAGCTAGGCGGAGTTAATGAGAGGGCAGGAGCTCACTGGCCCCGCCCACCTGGTCAACTTCAAACGATGCGCCTTCCCGGACCAACACTTCGCCAGGCCCCTAATTGAGCGTAATAGCCTGTGATCTGGCTTCTTTACGGGACTAATGACGAAATCATCTTGTTGAGAATTTTTTTCTTCTGACAAAGGGGAGAGAGGAGGAGTGGATGATTCCGCTTAACAACAACTTGGTTTCGTCTGCCACCTGGATGGAATCAGTTGGCAGCCACAGCGAGCCAGTTGACTGGATGGAGAACGTGTGTGTGTGTGTGTGTGTGTGTGTGTGTGTGTGTGCGTGCGCGTCTGTGTGTGTGTGTGTAACTATGAATAGATCTGTATTTGTTTGTTAAAATGATTGTTTTGTGTTATACGAGTAGACGAACATATTCATCTAACAGCATATAGCTACACCCCAAGAACGGAGATAAACATGGCCACTATTCATGCTAACATAGCCTTCATATATAATTAATGTATTTAACTAGAATAAAGAATTTAAAGCGCATGTGTTTAAAAATGTAAAGTCACTGTAGGTCACAAATTGGTTTAACCCAAACTTGAAAAGAGAACTATCCCTCACGCGGGAAACTAGACATCCATTAGTAAGTTCAGGAAATACATACACAGGTATCGTACTGTACTCGGCTGATTTAAACGGAGTCCAGAAGTTGTTTTCCAGGAATCAGTTTCGTCAGAGTACGTTCGTCTGGCAAAGCAGTTTTTAGACAGGTTGCTTCTCATCTACATTATTACATGTCCGCCTTGTATGTCATTCCGGAAACATGAGGGTGGAGGGTGGGGGATGAGTCTTTCCCATGCGAGATAAAGTTCTGGGAAGTTGTAAAGCTGGGCAACACTCCATCTACTCCCAGTTACGTAAACCTAATATCAGCCCTTCCGCGAAACACACACTTCACTAGACACTCTCACACTTGTCTCATGTTTCTAGGAAGCCGTCATGGCGTTTTGAGGGCGTTTGTGTTGCTGGAGGGAGGGTGACAATGTCTTAACTTGGTAGTGCTGACGAAACACTGACAACTGACATGATTGTACTCGGGCGCATACACACACACACACACACACACACATCTACGCTAGGCCTGTTGGCGCATCACTAAACTTACGGGCATCCTTCTTGGCTCCATTGGCATAGAAGATCTTGATGTTACCCTTGTGGAAGCCGTTGTGCCTGAGCATGTGGTAGGCGGCGTCGAGGGTTTGGCTTGTGTGCTCTGGGGACAGGTCACGGCTCCAGCCCCCCGACACCACTACCGCCTGGTCACACACCTCAAACAGTCGGCACCTGGTGTGTACGGTGTCATGTCGAGACGAACACCTCTTAGAGTTGACTCCTAGAGGAAGAAAAGTTGTTGAAGGACGAAATTTTATTAAAGAATTGAAAATAAGCAAGTTGAATAAAAAATATTGTATAGGTGAATACAGGAATAAAAAATATTTTAATTAATCAAAAAACTCATACTAATAGTAGTCCTACACCGATGATATTGATAAAGGTGAATATGATAATGATTATAATTATTATTTATTAGTACACCTGATTATAATATTAATAATGAGTGATGGTACTACTACTACTACTACTACTAATAATAATAATAATAATAATTACATACAGGGATACACTCCAATTACCACCATTTTGATATATCACACAACAAAGAGCGACACACCTAGTGGATCACACACGAGGTGGTTGGTCTCGTTGAGAGGCCTGAGGCGGACACAGAGGGCGTACCCGTGGGCATCGTCTCTACACCTGAGGCGCTGCAGGGGACGCTGACTCAGTCTGGGGCCATGGGAGGTGTGGGTCAGGGTTCCCACCTCCTCCTCCCGCACCACTAGGGGCGGCAGATTGATCTCACACCGCCGGGCATAGTTCTTGCGGCGGCCTCGTCGCTCAAACAGGTTACGGCAACGCTCCTTCACCGCTACCATTAAGCAGTCCCCGGGCTCTGGGAGGCGACCACGAGAAACACTGTTACAGTATTGAAAGTGAAGGTATTAGAGAGCCCTAAACCTGTCCACACTCACACGAGCACTTACAGGCTATAAAGTGTACATTTTTGTATATACATGATTATATTTAATATATTTAAGCATCACGAATAATATCAAGGGATGACGGTACAGTATGCAACCTGACACTGGGAGTATTTCCGGGAAGTACTCTGGCTTGGCTCGGTTAGGTTAGATTAGATTAGGTTAGTTAAGGGTAGGTTGTCAGATTAGGTTAGGTTAGTTAAAGGTACGTTGTCAGATTAGGTAAGATAAGCCGAGGTTAAGGTAGGCTGGACCTAGGTTACGTTAGTTTAGATAAAGATAAGTTACGTCGTCAGGTTTACACACACACACACACACGAACTTAAGATAATGTTGGTGGTGTCAGTGTTTATCATGGTGTGTTGGTGGTGTCAGTGTTTATCATGGTGTGAGGGAGGGATGGGGAGGGGGGTCCTGCCAGGGAAGGGTGTCAACTCATTGTAATGTAGGTGTCGTCCTGTCAACCCCCACTAACCCCCCCCCTCGTCCGTCTGCCTGTCCCTCCTCCATCCGCTCCTCTGCCTGGCCTTGAGGTGATCGTGTTTGTCGACTCAACACCTGGGCACTCCTGCAACCCATTACCTGTGTGTCTGGCCTCACCTGCCCCTCCCCTCCCTGACACACACACACACACACACACACATAGCCACACACACTGTACACACAGCTGCTAATGTCTCCTGTACACACATAGCCACACTACTGCTAATGTCTCCTGTACACACATAGCCACACTACTGCTAATGTCTCCTGTACACACATAGCCACACTACTGCTAATGTCTCCTGTACACACATAGCCACACTACTGCTAATGTCTCCTGTACACACATAGCCACACTACTGCTAATGTCTCCTGTACACACATAGCCACACTACTGCTAATGTCTCCTGTACACACATAGCCACACTACTGCTAATGTCTCCTGTACACACATAGCCACACTACTGCTAATGTCTCCTGTACACACATAGCCACACTACTGCTAATGTCTCCTGTACACTACCACACATACACACTACTGTAATGTCTCATGTACACACATAGCCACACTACTGCTAATGTCCCTGTACACACATAGCCACCTACTATGTCTCCTGTCACACTGACACTACTGCTAATGTCTCCTGTACACACATAGCCACACTACTGCTAATGTCTCCTGTACACACATAATATGACGAAAGGAAAAAAAGATGTCCTGGATCATTTTCGGCGTTGCATTGAAGTCTTTTTATCCCTTACCTTATGTGGTAGAGAGAGAGAGAGAGAGAGAGAGAGAGAGGTTAGGTTGGATTAGGTTAGGTTAGATTAGTTAGGTTAGGTTAGGTTAGGTTAGGTTAGGTTAGGTTAGCATTAGGTTAGGTAAGGATAAGTTTGTGTTTTCAGTCATCGGGTGAACTAAATATCTCAACACCAAGGCAAAATTGTTTACACTCGAGTGATTTCCAAGCACGAACGTCGGTCTGAATACCACACACTGCAAAATGAGAACGAAGAAAAAGTCACAGTATACTTGTTCATTCACGGGAGGGGGTTGCTGGACAAAGGTGTGGGGGGTTAGGTTAGGTTAGGTTAGGTTAGGTTTGTGAAGGTTTGGTTAGGTTAAGCTAGGTTTAGTTAGGTTATGATGGTTGTTTATAAGGTGAAATACATTTTTTTTTTTGGGGGACTAATCTAAAGGTGATCTAACATGTTAATTCAAAAGTTTGGTCCTTCAGTAATCATGATAAATATCCCGTGTTGATGGTGAGAGCCGCCAAGGCCTGTGTCATCATGTCCAGCAGTTGTTGGTGGTTAAGAAAGATCCTTACAATAAGACACGGTGGCGGCGGTGGCGTTTGATGTGTATGTGTGGGCGGCATATGAAAGCGGGTTGGCTTGTGGCCCATTGCTGGCTACCCAACTACGCTCACCACCATCTCTCTGTGTCTTGCCTGCCACCATCTCTCTGCGTCTTGCTTGCCACCATCTCTCTGTGTCTTGCCTGCCACCATCTCTCTGTGTCTTGCCTGCCACCATCTCTCTGTGTCTTGCCTGCCACCATCTCTCTGTGTCTTGCTTGCCACCATCTCTGCGTCTTGCCTGCCACCATCTCTCTGCTTGCTTGCCACCATCTCTCTGCGTCTTGCTGCCACCATCTCTCTGTGTCTTGCCTGCCACCATCTCTCTGTGTCTTGCCTGCCACCATCTCTCTGTGTCTTGCCTGCCACCATCTCTGTCTTGCCTGCCACCATCTCTCTGTGTCTTGCCTGCCACCATCTCTCTGTGTCTTGCCTGCCACCATCTCTCTGTGTCTTGCCTGCCACCATCTCTCTGCGTCTTGCCTGCCACCATCTCTCTGTGTCTTGCCTGCCACCATCTCTCTGTGTCTTGCCTGCCACCATCTCTCTGTGTCTTGCCTGCCACCATCTCTCTGCGTCCACCATCTCTCTCTGTGTCTTGCCTGCCACCATCTCTCTTTGTGTCTTGCCTGCCACCATCCTCTCTGTGTCTTGCCTGCCACCATCTCTCTGTGTCTTGCCTGCCACCATCTCTCTTGTGTCTTGCCTGCCACCATCTCTGTCTTGCCTGCCACCATCTCTCTGTGTCTTGCCTGCCACCATCTCTCTGTGTCTTGCCTGCCACCATCTCCATACAACCTACTTGCCACCACCTTATGTATAGCATTTAAAACTCACTTAACCTAACCCAATCCCCTAGGCAGAGTTAGGACCGTTAGTTGTTAGGAGAAATAAATTGGGGTGACTAATTTCAAGTGACCCCACAGGCCTTTAATGCAGTGTGGAATGAATACAAACGCGCTTATATTTCGTGAACAGGAATAAGAATAGAATGCAAGAAGTGTGTGTGTGTGTGTGTGTGTGTGTGTGTGTGTGTGTGTGTGTGTGTGTGTGTGGGTATTTAGGGGCGGTGGCGGGGGGTGTAGGCTGGGTAGACCCTGAGTGATGGATGGCATACTGTGGTGATAGAAGGCATACTCATTATACTTCGTTCTTGCTTCCCTCGGTATATACTACTGACTTCAGTGTACACAAGCGAGAGAGAGAGAGAGAGAGAGAGAGAGAGAGAGAGAGAGATTTCTAACTCTGTTCTTCATTTGAAGATAAAATAAGAACGAAGGACACTGCAGTAGGCCCAAACTAGGACAACCTTGTTTTCACCCAACCTTTATCACTTATATAACTGTCCAGCCTATATTTGAAGTTTCCTTGTGAGTTAATGGTAATTTTTTCCCACTCCACCACTCTACTCCAAACCAATGTTTATCTATTTCATGCCAAACTCTAAATTTGTCTAATTCAAAACCATTACTACGTGTTCGCTATACTGGTTTGATAGTTTATGTACCTTAGTTAGGTCCCATCTTCCATTTATACACTTCGATCATATCTGCCCTCACGACGACTTTCAAGAGAATGCAAATTCATGTATCTTAGTCCGTCTCTGTACTCAAGGTTCCTAATGCCAGGGAATAGCTTTGTTATCCTCTTCTGAATGCTTTCTAGGATAATCGATATCCATCCTATTGTGTGGGGACCAAAACGGAGCTGCATTATATCAAATGAGATCTCACATACACGAGACGTGGTTTGGTGATTGCCTCGCTAACTCTCCTAGTGAAGACTCCTTATGGTTTGCTAGTCTTGTTTTGAAAATAAACACAGAGCTAACTTGAATACTAGAAGGTTTTTACTTATGAGTCAGATATCTCCATATTTGCATTGTTCAGCTGATAACTTGTTCCAGTTTTCATTCCCTAGCCTTAGAAACATAAACTTTCCACATTAAATTGTATCTGCCATTTTTCACTACACACTAAAAGGTTGCTTTCATCTTGTAATGTTTCGGAGCCCTCGTGTTCTTACGTTCTGTTACGCAGTTTTGTGTCGTCACCAGCTTTAGGTACTCATGTTGCTGTCACCACCTATATCTGTGTACTTAATCTGTATAATTAGTGACCGAACGGAAGTGTGTGTGTGTGTGTGTGTGTGTGTGTGTGTGTGTGTGTGTGTGTTTCTGCGTGTTGTCTAAGATAAGTAGATAGATAGAGCTAGAAATGTTGAATAATATAGTGGAATACGAATAGAGACTCGATTATTATTATTATTATCATTAGGATTATTATATTTTTCTTATTTTTATGTTATTATTATTATTATCGTTATATTATTATTATCATCATCATTTAGATCACCTGTAATTTAGAGACCTAAGCTTAATTTTCCTAAAGCCACCTGGGGGGGCGGGGGGCGGTAGATTATGATAGGTTAATTCGGGTTAGGTTAAATTAGATAAAGGTTACGTTAAGTGAGATAAAGTTGGGTTAGGCTAAGTTAGATCAGGTTGAGTTGGGTTAAGTTAGATTGGGTTAAGTTGGGTTAGGTTAAGTTAGATTAGATTGAGTTGGGTTAGGTTAAGTTATACTAGGTTAAGATTAATTTGAGGAGCATGAGCGGACGTTTATTTAGTGAGAAGAATGAATTAATGTGTCTCCGGTATGTCTCACTTACCGGTGTCACTTACCAGCATGTCTCACCAGTATGCGTCACTTACCAGTATGTCTCACCAGTATGCGTCACTTACCAGTATGTCTCACCAGTATGCGTCACTTACCAGCATGTCTCACTTACCAGTGTGTCTTATTTACCAGTAATTGTCACCTACTTATATGTCATACCAGTATGTATCACTTACCAGTATGTCTCATCTACCAACTTGTCTGAGCTGTGTAAGAGAATATACTCACCTATCCAGTAGCCCTTGGTGTTGGAGCAGTGTGTGAGGGAGGTGTTGGTGTTGACGAAGATGACAAGGACCAGGTGTCCCCAGGAGGCGGTGGGGTAAGGGTCGAGCATCAGAACCCCGTGGTGGCGGCCAGACCTGTACAAGGACCCATCTGGGAGCCTCGCCACATACTGCCGCTGCCCCCCTTGGGTCGCCCATACCCGCATCAACCTGCGGGGTACCAGCTGGGCAGCACGACACGCCTTCTCTGTCGTCCAGGAGGGCGCCTCGCATGACAGCGACTGTAGCAGGTCATATGCCGCCCCCGCCCATTTAGTCGTGAGCTCATTCATCGGGGCATCATCATCATCGTCATCATCATGGGACACTTCTAAGGTGTCTTGTGGACTCGATGTGACCATTTCTATGTTATCATCTAGAGCCCTGGCCTCCTCCTGTAGCAGGTCAGGAGAGGCTAAGACCACACCCACCACCACAAGCACACACACGTACCTCATCACCTTCTGTTGGTGACCACTCATTACCACAACACGTGCCACAGTCCTCACACAGATTGTACTATTACCTCTCTCCACCACACCACCGCTCACTTGTATATGGGACGATAGGTGGTGGCAGCGTGTGAACAGCGTATGTCAGGGAGTCACACACCTGCAGTATGGAGCGCGGTGTAGGTGTTACGAGCGAGGGTTCGCTTGATCTGGTCCGTGGCCCGGGACAACACACACTGGCTCCTGCCTCGTCTGCGCTCCTGCCTATAAACGCCGTAGCTGAACGCTGCCGAGTACCGACCGAGCTGTGATAATCGCACCAAAGATCAAACACGCCGACTCCTCACAACTCCGGCGGCTTCCTTTGATGTGTGAACTGGTCGACCCTCCACCCTCACGAGGATGTCCCCCCTCCACCCTCCCTCCCGTTCCTCTGCCAGTCCCCGACACAAACCTTCTTCTGGGTGTGCCCCTTCTTGTCATCTTCCTATCACTCCCACTCTCCTAATATCTTGTGGCTTCTCACCATCGTCGTCTATGAGTCACCTCTACAGTACACCCACACCCTGGATCTTCTTCGGCCACTCTTCCAGGATGTATGGAAGTTAAGAGCCTGGCAAGTCTTCCACAGCAGCAGATCTTCCGCTTTGTTACGAGTCATGGGTTGTAATGCAGGTCTGGATCAACTTATTTTACCTGAATATTAACCTAACCTAACCCTAATCTAACCCTAATCTTACCACCTAACTGCTAACTTTAGTTAACCTAATCACAATAACATCCTATAACCTAATCTAACCATGCCAGCATTAACCTAACCTAACCACCACTTAACCACCATTACGCTAGCAGATCCTAATCTAGCTAGCCTAACCAAACCTTGCACACACACACACACACATATAGTTGTTATTCTGTTCGTCTGGAGGGGATTTCTCTGCAGAAATGAGAGAGAGAGAGAGAGAAAGAGAGAGAGACCAGGCTGGCGGAGGACGGGTGGGCTCCCCGGGTCACCTCTGAAGAGCCAGTTTCTCAGGTCACCAAGGTTTGTGTCTGTCTGTATGTATGTATGTATGTATGTATGTATGTATGTATGTATGTATGTATGTATGTATGTATGTATGTATGTATGTATGTGTGCTTTTGTACTGGTGTAATGGGTATAGAATCTATACCCATTACACCAGTACAAAAGCACACCTGTCCACACCCACTCCTGTGTGTGTGTGTGTCATCTATACTATGACACAAATAAGAACTGGACTGACGATCTCAACCCACACCCACACACACACAGGAGTGGGTGTGTGGGTGTGGGTAGGTGGGGTGGGGGGGAGGTGGAGGCTTATAGGGGCGGGGTTGAACAGCACTTACCAATACACGCTTCCGCTACACCCGTGACACTCCCGCACTTCCGTCCCCTCCTAAATTTTCCTTCTTTTCCTCCTTCCCGTCCTCATTTACTCCTATATTTCCCCTCCTTCCCTCCTATATTCCCCTCCTCTCCTTCCGCCCCTTCCTATATTTTCCTTCTTTTCCTCCTTCCTTCCCTCCCTCCCTCCCCTTAATCTATCTTTCTTTCTTTCTTTCTTTCTTTTCCTTACTAAGTTCCTCCTTTCCCTCCTGTATGCTCCCTTCTTTGCTCTCCTCCCTGTTCCTTCCATCCCTCTTTTCTTGCTCCCTCCCTCCCTCCTTGCTCCCTCCCTTCCTTGCCATTCCTTCTCTCCCTGCCATTCTTTTCTCTCTTGCTCCTTCTCTCCCCACTCCTTCCTTCCTCAATGGCAGCCATTTTTTGTTTCACGGAACCCCAGTCGCTCTCCTCCTCTCGCTCTTCTCCTCCTCCTCTCGCTCTCCTCCTCCTCCTCCTCTCGCTCTCCTCCACTTCCTCCTCTCGCTCTCCTCCATTTCCTCCTCTCGCTCCTCTCCTCCACCTCCTTCTCTTGTAATTATCACTTTTTAATTAATCTTTTGTTCTCTTTTGTCCCTTTCTCTATGTATGTATGTATGTATGTATGTACAGTATGTATGTATGTATGTATGTATGTATGTACTGGGTATGTATGTATGTATGTATGTATGTATGTATGTATCCCTCTTCCTCTCTATCTATTTTTCTAATCTATCTATCTATCACTCTCTATTCTCTGTCTGTCTGTCTGTCTCTTTTTAATCCCTGTCTCCTCTGTAGCCACCTTTCTTCTCTCTATTCCCTCTTCTCCTCTTTGTCCTTCCTTCCATCTTTATATTTCCTCTACTGCCCCCTCTTTATCATTTCTTCCTTTCTCTCTTGAGTTTTCCTACTTCCTTCTTTCGCAATTTTTGTTTTCCCTCTTTTTTCCTGCTTCCCCTCTCCTCTTTCCCCCTCTCTTATTATCGCCTGTTTCCCCTCTCTTATTATCTCCTGTTTCCCCCTCTATTATTATCGCCTGTTTCCCCCTCTCTTATTATCACCTGTTTCCCCTCTCTTGTATCACCTGTTTCCCCTCTCTTATTATCGCCTGTTTCCCTCTCTTGTATCACCTGTTTCCCCTCTCTTATTATCGCCTGTTTCCCCTCTCTTATTATCGCCTGTTTCCCCTCTCTTATTATCGCCTGTTTCCCCCTCTATTATTATCGCCTGTGTCCCCCTCTATTATTATCGCCTGTTTCCCCCTCTATTATTATCGCCTGTTTCCCCTCTTATTATCTCCTGTTTCCCCACTTTATTCTTGCTTCTTTTGTCTATTTCCTCTTTTCGTTGTTTCCCTTGTCACTTGTTTTATTTTCTTTATTTGTTGCCTCCCCTCTTCCCTCTCATCAAAAAATGGCAGCCGAGTAAGTGAGAGGGGTTGGCGGTGAAGTGAGGGGGGCGGTGGTGAAGTGAGAGGGGCGGTGGAGACGTGAGAGGGGCGGTGGAGAAATTAAAACAACAAAAACAAAAAACACATTATTTTACATAAATCTTGATGACGATTTTAATATTCCCGATAATTTTAGACTAATATCGTATTCCACCTTTTATTGAATAATCTCTTATTTATTATTTTAGGAGCGTTCAGACAGAAGGCAGAGAGAAAAAAAATAAAGAAGTCTAAACGAGGCCCCGAGACAATCCGTCAATTATCTCACAAATAAAAATGACTTGAAGAGGGAAAGGGTTTGTTATTAGGCATCAGGCGTACCAACATGACCACCACCACCCGGTATGTATGTATATCCGTATTTAACTGCCTTCAAGGTATATTAAACTCTTAACATCACTTCGTGTTTATGAATAGTTATACCCGTGTCTTAATTGTGTGGTTAAGCTGCATTCGAGTCATCATCATATGAAAGAAATACAGAGGTGGATATGGTGGTTAGGTTGGCAGGCCTGACTGGGCGGGGAGGTAAGGAGTGGGGGAATAATTAGCTGAGCAAGTGTAGTACTAACCAGTAGCCACTTCACCCCTCCTGCACGTCTCCCACCAGTCATATTCCATTATCTCATCCTATTTCATCCCTTCCTGGTGTGTTTTCAACCTGTCATCGCTCACATATGTGGAAAATCGGACGGAATAACACGTAGACGAAGGCGATGATGCTAACAGTGAGGTGCCTCTGTGATAATAATAACAACTGTACTGATATACTTTAGAGGCCGTAATCAGTAAAAATAATACAATCTATATAGTTTTAAGCTGGGGGGGGGGGCTGTTAGTGTTTTAAAGATGTCGTAGTTATTGAAAGATAGGTTGATTTAGCCACAGAAGTATATTTTGCAGTGTAAGGCTGTTATAGTGAAGATACACGGGTCGTCTTGTTAACAGGTCGTCTCGTACACAGGTCGTCTCGTACACAGGTCGTCTCGTACACAGGTCGTCTCGTACACAGGTCGTCTCGTACACAGGTCGTCTTGTTAACAGGTCGTCTTGTTAACAGGTCGTCTCGTACACAGGTCGTCTTGTTAACAGGTCGTCTTGTTAACAGGTCGTCTCGTACACAGGTCGTCTTGTTAACAGGTCGTCTTGTATACAGGTCGTCTCGTACACAGGTCGTCTCGTACACAGGTCGTCTCGTACACAGGTCGTCTCGTACACAGGTCGTCTCGTACACAGGTCGTCTCGTACACAGGTCGTCTTGTTAACAGGTCGTCTTGTATACAGGTCGTTTCGTATACAGGTCGTCTTGTTAACAGGTCGTCTCGTACAAGGTCATATTTTGTTAGGTTAGGTTATGTTGTTAGGTTATGTTAGGTTAACGTAATGGTTGTTCATAATCAGGTGAAATAAGCTGAGGGGGGGTTAATGTTCAGGGTGATCCATTCAATGCTTAACCTTTTAAATGTTTTCTGTTCAATAAGTTCTCACATCACCAGGTACGAGGGCAACTGAACGTAAGAATCATTGAGAATCTGGGACCCGAAAATGTGTGCCTACGAGATAAGAGGAACAACGAGCGGCATGTGTAAGGTAAGCATTTCTTCCCTTCATGTTAAAATACTTCTTTTTTTATTTTTTATTTAACGTATTGCTATGTATTAATTGTTTACAGTATAGAGCTTTCTGTATTTTTGTTATTTAAAGTCTCGGTGAATTTAAACCTGCTGGAATAGGAAGGCTGGGTCAAGACTTTTGAAATTTACAAGGCAGGGATTAGGTTTGGTTAGGTTAGGCTTGGTTTGGTTTGGTTCGTTTTAGTTAGATTAGGTTACGTTATTTTTTTCCCAGCATTCATCACAGGGTGGCTTCTCCTGACACCGACTGGAGGTAATCCACTACACGCTAAAATTCTCTCACGGCTGAATAAGTTCACTAACTGTAAATTACGTTATCGGAATTCGGTCTATAAAAAAAGGAGTGGGGACGGGGAGGGGAGAGTGTCACACCACAACATGCAAATTCAATATCCTGCCGTTGTGACAATATTCGCGTCAGGCTTTGTCCTTATAGTAAAACCCCGCAGTCATGTTGGTGTCAAAATAAAACACCCATTTGGCAACTGACTTAATGTGGGATATTGACTAAAGCTCTCATTACTTGTCTTTTAATCCGCGAACATACGAGTATTCTTCATCGTATCTTGAGTTACCTTTATATCGTAAGATTTTTTTGTTTTAACTATTCCTTTGAGAATAGATAAAGTAAGATAACGTGGCAACACCTGTCATAGCATCGGGATATTATATTCTTCGTGATTTACGCCGATTTATTTGACAGATTTGCTTCCACAGCGTGTAATAATGACATAAATCTGAGAACAGCGTGGCGTTGATCACAAAATAGAGGCTGATGAG